TCTTGCACGTGTAGCAAGACAAATAGTTCTGTGTTCCATTCTATGCATCACAAGTTCACAGTGAAACAGTTTTTTCTTGCGATAAAGAACGTGTCATCGTCAATCACCGGAGGGGAGAAGCTGCCGTCGTTAGCGTCAGCGAAACTCTCCGCGGTTTTGAAAAGCGGCACGCCACTCTGCAATTTTGTGGTGATATTGCTGCCTTCGTTTTGATGTTCCCCGAGTTCTTGTAGTTGCTCCCTCGGCGTTGTCATTTCTAGCTCTTCCCTCTCCGGATCGTGGATCGGGATTCGGTAAGAGTCCATGAAATCGTCGATTAAATTTTCGTCGTCGTCATCATGGAACTCATCACCCTCACCTCGTCGTCGCTCCTTCCCGAGCTGCTGCATCATCATCCTTTCCTGCCTCTGCTGTTCAAAAGCCCACTTTCTCCTCGCTTTTTCTTTGCAAGCGCAGTTGCAAAGGCGGTCCCCCGGGATTAAATCTGCGGTCAGTTCCGGAATGAAAACCTCCACATGCTGGTAGAGAATAAAACGCCACCCTGGTGTTGTCGGGTTCTGTCGGTTTTTCTCGAGTTTCGCAAGGACGGAAATTGGTAGGACAGTGCTTGATGTCGTGCTAGTACTACCATCTTGTTGCGGCGTCTTTGACGGTTGTTTGGAAGAACCCAAAGATGAAGCAAAAACCGGTCGTTTCGCTTTCTTCATCACTGTGTTCCACCTGTTATTCGAGCAGTGATACAGCCCGACGTTCCCCAGTACCCTCTCCATCTCCGTGGGGAGTTTTAGATCCTTGCTGGCGGACGCTGACACCGGTACTTCGAACTCCAATCGCGCTTGAATCTCGCTGTCATGAGGCGCTGATGCGTCGCTGTCGGGGTAGTAGTCCGAGAGCTGAAGCTTTTGTTCCGTGGCGGCTATCTCTACGAGTCGGGGCGGGGGTTTTGTGCCAGAGGATAGCGAAGCGGAAGATGATCCTGGTCCAGTGTTAGTAGCAGCACTACCTCCGTCAACAGTTGTTCCTACCGTCGAGGATGTTGTCGATAACGCAGGAGCTCCACCACCACTACTTATCCGGAAAAACGACAACACCGCGTGCGCCGGGCGCCAGAGAGACGTTGGCACACCGAACCCAGCTTTATCGACGTGATGCGCAGGAGCGCCAGCATCGGATGCAGCTTGTTTTCCATTTCCCGCACGACCTCCTGTGATAATTCCCTTCTCATACTTCCGTACTTTCTCGACGAACTCCTTTTCCGAAGCTAGAGCGCGCAAATCCAAAACATAGTTCGTCGCAATCCGGTTCTCCATCTCATGTAGCTCCGCCTTCGCATAGCCGAACAAGTCCTGCATGGACCCGCTAAACCCGAAGTGGTAGTCGGAGTAAAGTATGGAAGCCTCAGAATGGAAATCCTCAAAGTGGAAATGATTTGTGATGCATGAAATGCGACACCAAAAAGACTGTGTTGCAGAGAACGCAATGGAGGCCGATTATTGTGCTTCTACGGGTTCAGAATTGGGCTGCTGATTAGCACGAGAGACGGGCACCCCTTTGCCTAACTAGCATGACAGACACGTTTTAAGTGCCCGGGAAATTTGTCATGCGCCGACTAGAAATGGTGCTTCGACTGGAGTCGTTTTTTTGCATCGCAAATTATATTCCACTTTGAGGATTTCCATTCTGAGGCTGTCATATAAAGCAGCAAATACTTCCTCGCCAACTCTTCCGTCGGCGGCTTCAGCATCTCCTTGGGCGTCCCGAGGCCATACTGTGGCAAAGACATGATCTTCAACACTTGCGTGTACCAGAGGACCATGAGACACCTCCTTCCGTAGACCAAATGGTGAACGTAGTCGGTGAGAGACTCTTTGAGCGTGAACAGAGACTGAGATTTTGATGTTCCAGAACTAGTCAGGAGGCCCCCGCTTACGTGGTTCTTTTCCGACCGCAGAATCTTCAAGTTCACCCCCATGCCCGGATCTAAATTTCGCGATTTCCCAATGTAGAACTTGCTCCACTGCTTTAACAGAATCTCCATCTTTATCGGTTGATTCGTGATCCGCCAGTGCGAATTGTCGAAGTCCCCGCGCCAGAGATTCGTCTCCAAGTTCGTGCCCCAGGGAGGGAGAGGAGGGGAGGAAGAAGTAGATGTAGAATTATGTGCATGATAGTCCCTTGCCTGCTTTTCCTGCTGTTCCACGGTCGGCCAGGTACCGAAATACGCGTCGACGTCGCGACAGAGGATGAGCTTCACCCACAAGTCGAGGTTATCCCGCGCTTTTTTGTCGAAACACGTCGCGTCGGAATAGGATTCGGAGAGGAACTCCTTCGCGTTTGCGGAAGATTTATTCGGAACTCCACCTGGTCCCCCGGTCGTGCTGGACGAAGTTCGGATGTTTAGTTTAGAACTACCTGCAGACGACGATACAACCCCGGTAGAAGAGGCGGCATAAGGATTCTGGAAGTTCACACAAGCCCGGCATGGCCGATCCCAGGTGCACTCGTCATCTGATGTGGTGATGATGTCGTGAAATCATTTTCATTCATCCGCGCATCCAAAAATAAAGAGCGCGAGCATTCGCATTGCAATCAAAACTATTAACAAAACTCTTCATCTATACTCCCCGTCTCTTTCTGTCCGCAACACCACCGCATTTTCCTCCCTATGCATTGCAAATATGTCTGGGTCGGGAAGAGTGCAAACTTGTGATGCGCATTTCACAAGACACACAAATCTCTCATGCACAGGTAGCATAAGTCCCCCACTTTCTGCCACCAAAATGGGGGATTTGCCATGCGGATTAGGCATTGCGGAGCCTTGACCTTCTCGAGACCTGTGATGCTAGGGCTTCCATGCCAGGAGACCTTCTGTGTCATACAAAAACAGCATGACTCTTCCAGACCACCAGGACATATTTGCATTTGATACTCCCACTGCTCGCCCCATTCTCCCCGTAGTACTCCCCCTCCGGTCGGACCAGCTTGCAATCCGATATGGCGCTCTCAATCGTTCTTACATTCTCAAGTGTTACATGAATTTGTGATGCAAGAATGGCAAAATTGAAAGGAAAACGCTTGCGCCTCTTGCATTACAGCTTTGCTGGCGCAGATTCATCTCAGCCCGTTTGGCCCTTCGAGTATTTGTCATGCGAAGCAGCTTGACCGGCGTGTGGATCCTGATTGTAAACTTGCATGACAAATTCGGGTAACAGTTGAGAATGTAACGTTTGAGAACACCATATCCGAGTTCACCAAGTTTTCCTCTGGATCGGAGAAGGATAAATACTTTATCCGAACCGCAAAAAACACCTTGCCCGAATCCAAGGAGAAATTCCTTGGGCAGTCATATGCATTGCAAAAAGCATCGTGCTCGTAGTATTGCAATACAAATTAGGTCAGCATGAGCATGACAAACAAAATTTTTTGTCACAGCATGGAAAACAAAATTTGTCATGCTGATGTAGCTTAAAAAATAAATTTGTCTTGCATGACTGCAATTAGTACGAGTAAGATGCTTTTGCATGCACAGGATAAGTCGTCCAAAATCACCACATTCGCCTCGTGGACGGTCAGCCGCATGTACCGTTTCATCTTGATGAGCAACGCCTGGATCTGGTTAGGCTTTTTCTTGAAGTAGTCGGAGAGGAATCTTTGTTTGTATTTCTTCGCATATTCTGCCATCCTCCTCGCCTTCTCGTCCCATTTCGACGGCGGCAGGAACTTCAACTCCAAGTGCACTCCGTGCACGTCGATTTCGAAGGGTTCTTTCTTCGGGGAGGTACTAGTACTTGTTCCGGCTTGATGTTCTTCTCCCTCCGTGTTTTCAAGTAAAGTCTCCCACTTGAACCTGACCGAGATCTTCCTGTATGGGAGTGTCAGGATTGATCGACAAAGTTGAAATGATTTGTAATGCATAAAATCGATACCAGTTAGAAGCCGAGCCCAGTTTCCAAGCGGTGCATGACAAATTTCGGCACCGTCTAAATCCAGTTTGTCATGCTGTTTAGGGACAGAAGGCGTCTTTTGTCATGCTACTTTAGCAGCTCTCTCGCAGACCCCAAACAGGCTGACCGTCGGCCTCACTTGCCATCCCTGCAAGAGAGGCACTGCATGCCTTCGCCTTGCAATTCCTGCATGAGAAATTATTTCAACTTTGACGATTTCAATCCTGACACTCCCATATCCTGATCGTCCCGCGCACCACCGTGAAGGGAAGAACATCTGCGAAGAGGAGGGATAACAGCTCATCCGACAGCTTCACGTTCCACAATTCGATTGTCTATGGAGTGCAAAAGTATCGTGGTACTCGTATAAATGCATGACAAATTCCCTCAGCATGAGAAATTAAATGCATTTGTAATGCGGATTTACCTTAAGAAAAGGATTTGTAATGCATGAGTGCAATACGAAGACGATACTTTTGCACAGGATATTGTCGGCCGGTCTTTGAAAAACTCGCCGGAAAAATTATTACCCCAATCGATTCCAATCGCTTTCTTCAGTAGCTTCTTCACAATCGGCAGGCGGAGGGCGAACACGCCTCCTAAGGAGGCGAAAAACTTGGAGGACATGGTAGGTTTGTGGCTTGTGGCTCGCCTACTCTACGAGGAAGGATGTGAACTGTTCAAATGTCGGCAAAAAAGTCCTCCTCGTCCTGCAGACGAGGCAGTATGGTTATGACCTACATCCTGGGTGGGGGGTCGCCTATGGGAAAAGAAAGTATGTAGTTGAGTCAAATCACCACATCAAAAATTTGACTCGTCGTCAGTGGTATCTGAAAAAATTTGACGCACGACGGCACAGCGGTATCTGAAACCAAGAAAACACACTTCCACATCTGGTACCAGACAGAGCGGAACAAACAAAAGCTACGATTTCAAACCGGGATTGGAAACGATCAAAGCGACTTGCTCAGTTGGCTCCACCACATCACGATCGTTCAACAAACGGAAAAAGTTTAAAGAGGAGCGAATCAGGAGACAAAGCAAGATGAGAACATGTTCGTGCCGTCGTGAAGGAACTACCGTGCGTTTGTTCCTCGTTTGGTCCTCCGGCTTGCTGAGCTATTCTTGTTTTCGTGTTGGTTTTTTTTTAAAGATGCTGACACGTCAGGTGAAATCGTGTTCCTCCTCGTGGTTCTCCTGTAGATCCTCTACTTGTGTGATCAAACAGCGCGGGGTAAGTGCTTACTACTGCGAGCGAAAGGTAATTGCGTCCACCTGTGAAAGATGTTCCTCAAGATCTTCAGCAGGTATGCGTACAGGGTCTGTTCTTCCAGAGCACCTTCTACTTCTTCCGCTTCTTGTTGACCACCACCGCCATTACTACATCCCGTACACAATGCTCAAAAACGTCCGCCCGTCCACGTTGAAGCCCTGCAACTCTTGCAAACAGCGCTTCGCGTGGTCTTCGTGCCTGAATTCCACCTTCATGCGCTTTTGCGTCGTGAAGACCTGAAGTTCCTCCAATCCAGGGTACTGCTCGAACAGTGGTCGCATAATTTCCTCGGTCAAAAACTCGGTTAAATTGTCGATGATCAGCGTGCAGGTTGGGTCGCCAACCTGGGAGTTTTATTTTGCACATACGGGATGTACGGTTACTATTTACATGCTGCATCAGAGATGCGTTTTCTACTTAAGCGGCAAGCTGCTGCAGAAACCCTCTCCTATCACGAAAAAAGACACATTATGCTCAAAAAAGCTAGAATATGAATACGTCCTGTCCGCTCATCGTTTTTGTTCCTGCCAAAAATCCTGCTTGCCCACTCAACTGCACCGCTGCCTTGTTTTTGATCGTGATTTGCTTCGCTGAGTTCGCGGATTCCGCCACTTTCTGTCTTTTCGCCGAAGCGCCAATCATTTCAATCTTTCCCTCTTTGATCATTGCATTATCAGCTGCAAATATATCTGGGTCTGGAAGATGAATGGAAGGTTTGTCATGCAGGTTTTGGATGCCCCAGAAGGTCTGGAATTATACGGGTCTAGCATCACAAATCTTAAGAAGGCTTCCCAATTATGCCTGATCCGCATGAGAGTAGATCCCCTGTCCTTTCGGTCACAAGAAATGGGCATGCTTTATTGCTGTCCATGCATGAGAGATTTTCCTTTGCTGTGAACTGCGCATCACAAGTTGATTGCAACATCCTTCCAGACCCAGATCGATATTTGCAATGCATATGCCTCGATGGATTTCGACTTCGCAAACTGCACGTACATATCCTGTGCAAAAGCATCGCACTCGTATAAATGCAAGTCTTGCATTACAAATCTTGGCCCCAAGGCAAATCTGCATTACAAATCTCGTTTCTCATGCTGAGGAAATTTGTAATGCATTTATACCAGTGCGATACTTTTGCAGTTCATAGTACAAATCCCGCCCGAAAAACGGGAAGCCGTGGAGCCTTATCCTGTGCAAAAGTATCGTAGTCGTACTAATCGCATTCATGCATTACAAATTTCTTCCTCAAGTTAAATCCGCATTACAAATTTTATTTCTCACGGTGAGGAAATTTGTCATGCGATTTATACTAGTGCGATGCTTTTGCATTTCATAAGCCTCGCTTTCGCCTGATTTGCGTTCATGTAATCGTCGAAGCAAACGAAGGCGATGGTCTTCATCAATTGTTGTGGTTTGTCGTACTGTTTCCCGGTAACCGCGTTTTTCCCGATCGTCTTGGTCGTGATCCGCTTCTTGTTGATCACGATGGAAAAAATTTCCCCGAACGGGTTGCAGAGCTCGTAGAGGTATGGATGGTAAAAGTGTCTGGGTCTGCAAGAGTCATGCTGTTCTTGCATGACACAGAAGGTCTGGTATGGGAGCAGTAGCATCACAGTTTTCGAGAAACTTTCGCAATGCCGAATCCGCATGACAAATCCCCCAGTTTGGTGGCAGAAACTGAGCAGCTTTGGCTACCTATGCATGAGAGATTTTTCTGTGTCCTGAAATGCGCATCACAAGTTTGCACTCTTCCAGACCCAGACATTTTTACATTTGATAAGAGGGCGTGTTGTAGGTCGTCTCTCTTGACGGACTGATCAATGTTGCCGAAGAACAGGGTTTGCTGGTCCTCCTCGGCCTTCCATTTTGGGGCCAGGTGGGTCATTTTCGTGGTTTTAGTTTTTTACTAGTGGAGCTTTATAGAGGTATGAAGGTCGATCTTTCCTCGTTCAATCAGGTGACACTAGTACGGTACTGACAAAGACTGTATAGAATAAAATGATGAAACTACTAGTCGCACTATCACACACTTACGTTGTACTAGTTGCCTACATGTGATTTCCGCTTTGCCCAATCACCAAAATGCCTCAAGACTGTCAAATATCAAGAGAAAGGATTCAGCACCTTTTTTGTGTACAATGAAAAACTAAAAGATCTTGTTGATCGAAAAAATGGGATCAACTGCTGTGCAGGGACGAGAGAACCCTTTCTAGTAATTTCTCCTATGTCCTCGCGATTGATGAAAAGAGATCGTAGCTTTCGTTTCGACGGAGTTGAAAAAACTGGAACTACGGCACAGATTCTTTATGAGCGAATAGCAAGCTACTGCTATTCGTTTATGTAAATCGGAATCAATGAGGATCTACTTTTTTCTTCGTTCCACTGCTCGCAATTAGGTATTCTTTCCTTCCGTGAACGTGATCTATATCTTCACAAAGATCCTAAATTTCTGCAGCAGTGCAACAATCTAGGAACAAAGAGCGTGACGACACAGGCGTGATGAGCGAAAAAGGGCCTCACGTTGAAAAGTTTCTTGTTTTAATTTGCGCTGTCGTGATGATGTGTCGCCTTTAAGCATGTGTCGCTCGTGCAAGTGCATCGTTTGTCGCTGATGCAACTGCAAGTTGAACATACATAATCATAAGCTCATACTGCTCTGAGGAGCAAAATGAAATGCTGGACTGCCAGCCGCTCCAGATGCGTACGTACTGACCTCGTTTATCATTATCAAGCCCACTTCAATCATCTGAGTCTCATTTGATTCCCCTCAATTTTGCTGCTCCTCCACCGCCCATCTTCTTGCTGATTTCCGCGAAATCCCGGCAAGAAAAAACCTTTTGACAGCACATCGTGAACAGATTCCAGGTATCGACAGAAGAAGATGAATTTGAATCCTTGGTGCCTTGCAAGGTTAAGGTTTTAGTATTTGCCTTGCAGCACACCGGCTGGAGCATAAATTCCTCCCCCTCGGCACCGCAGAAAGGACAACATCTTCCATTTATTGCCGCCAGAACATCGTCGCTGATATTTTTGTCCAGAGCCACCTGCTCTTGCTCTTCGTCTTGCTCCACGTCAAAACTCGCGTGAAATAGCATGCGGTCCATAGTGTTGGCGGCTTGGAGAAGTTCAAATGGGGGAATAGCATGCGAATTTTGCTCTGTCATGCGGGCAACCGATTCGAAGTGCGGCGGCGCCTGCTTCTCGTACTCCAGCCGGTTGAACAGGTAGTCATCTTGCTGCATGAAATCTGCGATGAAATCGATTGGTTTCGCGTCCCTGCATGACAAACTGCCTTCCACCTTTCCCGCTCCTCCTGCATGTGATGAAACTACTGGCTTGAAGAAATCTCTCCGCTTCCGCTTCTCCAAGTCGATTTTCTCGATGAACGTCCAGACTTCTTCGTCAACCGCCGAAATTGCGAGAAATTTAGAAGTTGTACTATTTCCGTCTTTATCATGTCCAGCATCTGCATCGCCCCTCGTCTGCTTCTCGAGAAAATCCAGATCGATGTTCGACTTCAAATATCAAATGCAAGTATGTCTGGGTCTGGAAATTTGTGATGCTGGGTGGCGTATCATGAGAAGGCCACAAGTGCTGGCCCAGCATGACAAGTTTTTGAGCTTTCAGGTGTTGCCTATTCTGCATGACAATCTGCGTTTCTGCATGACAGAAAAAGGGAGCTCTTGGGTAACGCGCATGACAGATTTAAAACTCATGCCAGACAAGCATGACAAACAGCCATTCTTCCAGACCCAGACATTTTTGCATTTGATATCAAACAAGCCTGCACCTTCAGCTGAAACTTCGCAATTTCCTTTTTCTCTGCCATTGTCATTTTCAAATCCTTATCCTTCTGCCTCTCCCTCTTCCCCATGACCACCATCAACTGCTTCAGCGTCTGTTGCAGTTCCAGCATGGTTCTCGCGTAGCGGTGTTGTAATTGCAAGTTCTTCGTGTAGACCAAAGGGTGCCAAAAGCGGATTAACAAAACGACTCGGGCTTCGTTTGTGAAATTTTCCACCTCGTGCTCGAAGGAGTCGTCGAAAAGCAGGCATTTGGATTCCTTCCAACATTTCCAATAAGGTCCGACTCTTATGCGGCATAGAGGACCAGCCTTGTTATTGTTTTCGTTTTCCCCCTGATCTTTCGGCACCCGTATCCCCAAGTGGCACGTCAACCGTAAATTATTCGGCGCGCAGTGCGGTAAAATGTGCGACCCGGCGGATAATTCGGACAAGATGATTTCTCCGTACCCGTTTTCCGCCATTTCGACGAATTCCGGGATTAAATTCCGCAAGTACCGCCTCGTTTTGAACAGCGGACGGTTTCTGATGTAATCGTGGTTTTTCTTCAAAAAATTTTTCTTCGTTTCACAATCAAACAAAACGATCTCGCGCCATTTTCCGCCGGGTTTCAATACATCCCCGTCCTGCTGGCCGCCGGTGCGGTGGGAGCCGCCGACTTCGGCGTAGTGGCCTGGAAGCTGTTCGGCTTGTTTCTCCTCCACTTCAGCGCCCTCAACCTCCTGCATGGTCTGCCGGGTAAACACTAGAGCGTCCTTGTCGAAATTTCTTGCGTTGGAAATAGCAGCGGTCTTTGTGGAAGAATTGTTTTGTTTATCTTCCATCTCCTTTTCGTACTGCTCGAGCTCTTTCTTGATGAGTTTGTGCCCGTAATTTTCCAGGTCCTTGATCCAGTACTCGTTGGTTTGGGCGAGGAGGCTGTGCGGGTTCTTCCTGTCTTCGTCCCAGAAAGGCTTGGCGAAGATTTCTTCATCTTCGACGTGGCTGGCGGTCTGATCATGCTGCTCGTCCTCCCCTGCACAATAATTCTTGCCGCTGATACGCAGGTCCGAAGGACGAGCCTGCTGCAACCGTGGGAAGAGCACTCCAGGGCGCTGGTGGCCGAGCAAAAGGTTGGATTTCGAATGATAGGGAACCTCGGGTTCTTCTCTTGCAGCAGCACTTCCACCAAACACCAAGCGGTATCCAAGCTGCCCAATTTCGTAGGCGAAATCGTACGTTGGAGTTTTCGTACAATTTCTCGACGCCATTTGCCCTTTCGCCTCTTCAAAAATTCCGGCGAGCGTGAAGAAGTGCTGGAGGCCGAGAGGGAATGATGGTGGAGAGGCTGTAGAAATGGATTTGTCATGCTGGTCGCTCACCACTTGAGCAGCAGCAGCAGCAGCAGCTCCTGCAAAGCAAGAATTATGCTGAACCAGCCAGGCGATGCGGATCGCGTCGGTCAAAAGTAACAGGTTTATCGTGTGGGGCTTCAGAATAGAACTTAACCTCTTCTGGTCCTCTGCCGAGTAGTAGTCTGGTGTTTGTGTTTCAGTTTCGGTGGCGTCTTTTCCGTTTTCTTTGTTGAGATCATGCCCATGCCGCATGAGAAACAACTCATCCACTTTCTGCAGGACGTCGAGGCGTTCCGGATTGCTGCTGGCACTAGTCCCGTTCTTGCCCTGAACAGAATCAGCCACGATCAGGGCGTTTTCACTCTCAATATTATCGGCGTTCTTGTCATGATGTCGTGCCATCTTCATCTCGAGATAAGCAATGAACTGTTTCTTGAAGCGAACCACTTCTGGCACCTCGTTCTCCGCCCAGCTGGTGTAGTTTTTAAAATTTCCCAAAAAGCGGCTCAACAGCCCGTCGGACAGGTCCTGGCTAGATAACCACAGAAGCCGCCTCATGAGGATCAGAAGCCTCGCTTCCTGGTGCATCATGGGGTCCTGGTTCAACATCTCCATCCGCGAGGAGGTTGGTTTGATGGTCTCATCGTCATGATTTTCTCCTGTAGGAGAGGAAGCCGAGACCACCAAGCTATTCAGTTCTTGATACAGTGCCTTGATCAAACCGTGCAACGCGGTGTCGCGCTCCGCCTGCCTTTTTCTTCTGCTAGCTTCCGACGAAGATTGGCCTGCCTGCGCTTGTAGCATTCTCATCTGCTGCTGTTGCTGCATTCTCAAAAGAAACGCCGTCCAGGCTTTCTCCGCAGTGAGGGACAGGAGATGTTGTACAGCTTCTTCTTGGGACTCTACTTTCTTGATGTCAACAGGAGCTGCACCTTGCCTGCCAGCAGCAAAAGCTTGTGATGCTGCTAATGCAGCTCCTGTATTTCCAACTTGCGGAAAGTAGTGCCGCGCCCATTCTGGGTCCCGGGTGAGGTGTTGCCAGGCCAGGTGTTGTTTTTCCCAACCTTGCTTGCCAGAAGATGGCGCTGGGAGACTCGCGCTGTGAGCAGAGAGAGGCATCTTTTTTTTGTGTCGGCTGTAATGGGCGTCAGAAGGTACAAAATAGATTCCGACTCCCCTCGATGAGTCTGAGTGTGAATGTCTATGCCGGCTCTCCTGCTTATTGCAGCGATTGAAATTGATCCATGATATACAACCGACGTCTTCGTCTTGCTAAGCAAACAAGTAAGAAAATAGCTCCTGCAGATCTTTGAGGAGAAAAAATATCATGTTTATGTTACTTGATGTTCTCGAAGAAGATCCAGATCTTCATCTTTCTTCTGCCATGCCCATGATCCTCTGCCGCGTATTAAAGGACTACTTTCACTCGCATAAAGATCTTTATGTATTACTTCTAGCTCGGAGCAGGAGCGATTTCCAATCTATTAATTTTCCAATCGGAGGCGATCGCAGCAACTTGAACTTGGGAAGAAGATGAACTCATGATCAATGACAATGTGACGATCACCATCTGTTTCAACATTCTGTAGGAGCCACTTTGCTGCAGCACTTTAGCTGCATGATGATCCTCCGTCCACGACGTTTTTGTTTGCCTCTCGATCTGTGGCTAGTACTCGACGCTCACCGTGATCTCTGGCTCTTGTTCTCCTGCTCCTGAAAGATGAAGCCACTTGGTCCTCTAGAAGGCACAAGAACATTTTTACACACCATGCGCATCGCCACTCAGGTAGGCGGGCCCAGAAGGCGCTTCAAGGTTTCATTTTTTCGCATTTTCATCGTGCAAGGGGACGCGCGGGCTTCGCGAACTTTTGTTTTTTGTTTGTTTTTTCGCAAGAAAAGAAAGCGAGACGTCGAAGGCAAAAAAGGAAGCAATTGTGTTCTTCTATTGGTTCGCGTGGACGATTCTTATTCTGTCGTTCTAGAAGTTAATGTTAAAGTTTGGCGGGTGCATTTTTTGAATTTAGTTCTTGATGTTACTAGCAGATTTGGATAGTGGAAACTTTCACATGATAGCGTATCTTTTTGACTTTCTAACAACGGAATTTGCAGCTCGGTATCAAAACTCGTTCTTCATTCACGCGGGTGCGGGATTTTTTCTCGGATAACTCAGAAACATCTCGTAAAAATGGGAACAGGGGCTGCACGACTTGAAATATCTCTCTTCTCGTGCTAAAACTAAGGGTTAGACCACTCAAACGTAAAGGTGGATTATCTTCTCTTCATCTAGTACTCTCTTGTCACTCTCACTCTTCTTGCTGTAATATCTTGTTCTGTGAGGCTTTTATTTATGTCATTCTAACGAGCAAACTAGCTCGTCTAGCGAAAAAGAAAAACGAAAATCATACGTAAGAAGGGCAGATCCTGGCTTTGATTTTCATCAGAGAGTGATTCCTACGAAAACTTTAATTTCTACGAAATTTGCGGTTGGAAGTCTCCGCTGAGGTAAAAAAAGCGTGCAAGGAGCGGGCGACCCGTTCCTCTCTCAATCAATCCCGGATTAGCAACAACCGGGGTTGCACAGGTCAACACCGCAGACCTATCATATTGAAAAGCGCCCTACTCCTAGTACCGTCTCCGTCAGAAATACCAGAAACCAATATTATATTCTGTTTCTAGATGCAAATTAATTTGCAGCGAATAAAAACGGAACTTTATTATCTTGCATGAAGAAACTCAAACTAGGATTGCATCCTCAAAGCATCTCAATCTCTTACATATACAAGCCCAGCTGTTGTTGCGGGGAGGTGTTTCGGCAACACAGTAGATTTTTTGGGCCACCTATTTTTTTGTCCTGAGGACGAATCACGAAATTTACACAAAGTACGAGTTGGACGATAACGAAATTTACACAAATTACGAAGGAGCACGACCAGGTGTTGAACGAAACAGATTGTGATTGAAGTAAGAAGAAAGCAGCGGAAATCTTGCTTCTCGCGATTACGAATCTTTCTATCTTTCGAACAACTGCCTGTTGCCCGAAAGGCAAAGGACCCCGACCAATAGCCCACATTAAAGAACGTCGCACAGGGTCTAAATAATCAAGCATACTCATCCTGCGTGCTGGGGTTTCCGCAAAAATCGTTTTCGTTTCTGCACTGGGCCTAAGCCAATGATCTTTTCGACGAGTTCTGTTTCTTTTTTGTATAAAGTGAATCCAAATCCTTTGAGAGTCGTGTGAGCGGATAAAGAATTTGACGCTGGCAAAATGCAATGCTGTGCTTCTGGTTTTAGGGGGTGAAACGGGGGAGAAAGTATGCGCTAAAATCGAAGGAAATCTTCATGAACTATCAAAATTATAAAGGAGCAGGCAGGGGTTCTGCCTCTCCTGCACGACATGCTCTGTTCAAGAACATAGACATAATTACATTTGATGAAGCACTAGCACTTTGTTCTGCCTCTAGTATTATCGGGACCACGTGTATGTATCGTACAAGTACGTCTTTCTTTTTTGTAAATAAATCGAAATCCTTTTTTGTATAAAGAGAAACAATTCCTACCCGATGTTGAAAGCGGGCGCCGGGATGCAGGTTCCGTCGCCGGGATTTATGCACGTTTGTTCCTTGTCTAATTGACGACCGCCGGTATGCATGTGTTGTCGTCGGCATTGTACTATCAACTGCAAAAATGTCTGGGTCTGGAAACTTGTGATGCAAGAAAGGGAGTAGTGAACTCACTATAATGCGCTGCCAAGCATGACAAGTTTCTTCCATGGCTCTGAGTTGCGTACTCCGCATGAGAAACCGCGTTTTTGCATGACAGGGAGGAGGAGCTCTTCGCGGCCATGCAACGGAGAGCTCAGAGTCATGCCAGACAAGCATGACAAATCTCGCAATCTCCCAGACCCAGACATTTTTGCATTTGATATGTACTGGCACGCGCCACCGGACTCTTGCACGCACTATACCTGGGAAAGAAATATGTCTGGGTCCTCTGGAAGATGAGAAGTGCAAGGCTCTTTGTCAACATGATCGATGGTCAACTACATGATCTCGTGGTGGACCACACAGCTGGTCGGGAATGGACACAGAAGCATGATCACAGGTTATTTTTCTGCTCGAGCTTCCGAGTAAAATCAAACTAGGAACCCTAAACGACCTAAACCCTGAAACCCTGGGAGAACCGGCCGCGACGGACGCCCATCTTGCCACGTGCGTCCCTACATGCATAGTTTTTTGAAAAAGAAAAGCAAAAAGAGAAGGATGAAGAAAAAAATCGAGCGAGGCGAGCGAATCTCTCGGCGGCCTATGAAGGACAATCCAGTGGCCAGCCGGAAGTCCAACACAGTAGGGCTTCAGCTGCGCTGGCTCTAAACCTGTACATAGTACAGACCTACGTACGTATGCGCCACACCTTCTCTCATCCGAGTACAAGACTCGTCCGAAGCTCAAGCAAAGCGAGAAAAAAGAAAGACGCAAGCGAGGCGCGATTCTACTCGGGCATGCGAATCAGGTAGAAGAAGGAAACCGAAAAAGGCGAGCTTGTCCGAGGACCGAAAAGGCATATCTCATCCTCACAAAGCCGAAACTCAAATCCCTCGGCTTCACAAGGCACATGTAAACGAGCACGAACAAGACGACGACTGCGATCAGCCCAAAGGCGAGACGTTTTCTGCTCGAGCTTCCTAGTAAAAATGCCTATAATCGTCCCGCATGATGAGAAAGAGAAATTCGCCCATTACGCGTAGCAAGGCAGTACCATAATTACGCAAGAAGATTTTCGGCGCTCATCATGCAACACAGATTTATTCATTTTTGAACGGTCCAGCAGACGCAGCGAGCATGACCAAAAGTTGCATCCTTCGAGAAGATCCAGCCATCATATGTGCAATTTGCATATGCAGCCCATATTGACGGGATCATATTTTTGCTCCAGCGCGGCGCAGTCCATGCACTGCTTCGCGTCAAAGTCCCACTTCCAACTTCCGTAGTTGGCGGGGTCCATTTTCAACGGTTGGTCTGACCAAGCACACTTTTGCTCGGTCGCAGCATTGCACGCATCCTTGTCTGCCAACTGGCGGCACGCGGTGCTTTGTCTGTCCCCGCCGCCGCCGGCCGAACCCTCTCCATCCGTTATCAAAATGAAAAATGATCCCCCCTCCCCATATCATGCTGGATCTGTGTACACAAATGCGCTTTGTATTGCAGGAAGGCACTGCGGCCAGATACCCAGCCTAAGCAGAGGCGTCTGGGTCTAGTTGTTCAGCATGGCAAACGGCTCCCCTTTAGGCCAAACAGCATGACAAACGGCTTCCATAATGGGGCGGCAGCTTCTGCCCTTGTCTTCTTGCAACACAAATGTGATCTGTGGCCTCAAATCAGCAACACAAATATTCGGAAACGTACCTTTTCAATATGGGGAGGGGGAGTTTTTCCTTTCGATATCCGCAGGGGCTCCGCTACTCGGCTCCCGCGGTGGTTCCTCGGCGCCGGCGCCCGCCGTGCTCCCGGTTCCCCCGTGGCTTGAACCTCCCGCGTGGTCGCGAGTGTCAGTCGTCGTCGAATTGCTCGAGGCGCCGGATGAATCCGTACTATCACCGGAGCAACCAACCTTTTAATATCCAGTGCAAAAGTATCGCTCTCGTACTAATTGCACTTATGCATCCCGTTCCCAAGCAAGGTATTAAATCAGCATGACAAATTCCAACTGTCATCATGCTGAGCGAATTTGTATTGCAATCACTACTAGTACGATGCTTTTGCAGTGCATAGCTTTTCCTTCTTGGCGAAAACCTTCTGCAAGAAAGCCTTTTTTCCGGACGGGCGAACATGCTGGTTCAACGAGGACATGGAGCTTTGTCCTTGCTTCAAAGGACGAGGGACGACCGGGACGGCGTGGCGCCCGTTGTGCTTGTGCGCAGACACCACCTGATGTGTGTGTTGAGTAAGTAGTTAGTTTAATGTTGGGGATGAGATTAAGATGACCAAGAAGGGGCGATCTACAAAATTTTTATTTTGTCCCCGCGTGTAGTAGTGCTTGAAAGGGGATCGGGATTGAGGTTGACAGTAAGCGTATGCGTAGCGCACAACAAATTGCAAAAGCCAAAGTTCTCGTCCTCATGTTGTTGCAGTTGCTTTCACACAGGCACCAACAGGAGCTACTACAACCGCTCATACTACAACTCATCTACCCTCTGGAAACATCATCATCCTCCGGATTTTTATGCAGTGCCGGCCCTGGTAGTGAGAACTGAAAGACTTACAACTAGTGCGCTTTTCCTTCTTTTCTACAACTACAGCACGACTGTACTACCTGGTGCGGCCCTTGCAACGGCGCACAGGCTCCTGCGATGAGGAACGACCGGGCTGCGAGCGACATGTTGGGAAGGACAGGAGGGGAGAGAAGAAAATGCAGTCTACTTTGTCTCCTGATTCACTGGTTGTTTTTCACCGAGCCTCTTTTACTACTTGGCTATCTAGCTTTTGCCTCTACCAAACGGCGTCGAGTGAACTTCAACGTGTCTGGTACGTACTGCTCGTCGAGTGGAAACTTAAAATTCCGGGGTGTGGTACAACTAGTAAGTACTGCAATAATTATTCCTGGGTAGAAGATGAGGAAGCAAATCTACTTAAAATTCTTCACTTTTATCCTTTTCGTGCCGTAGCGGAGATTCGAATTATTCCGGGACGAAAGCACGAAGTTGCAATAGCCGAAAGTTTCACGACACGTTGATGTAAAACGCTTTTTCATTTGGACGAGTCCCACTTTTGGTTTTGATGTCATCGAAGCTAACAACATAATTTTAGGCCAGACAGGCAGAAACTGAAACGAACGTGTTTCTTTGATCAAGACGCGACGTTCGTAAAACCGATACCGAAGGTGTGGGTCAGGAGCTGCAACAGACACGACTTCTTCGCCCACCTTAACCGAACTGGCCACCGAGGCGCCGCCAATGGTAAGTTATTTCCAACAACCGCCGCCTTGATGACAGCATCATCATCGCGCGCGTGAAAGAGTCCTCAAGGTAATGTCTTTCTTTTGCAGTCAACATGCGAAACAAAAAGGACGATCTTTTCGACGAGTTGCTCTTACTTAATATTACGGTTGAATTTTTGAAAAAGAAAAGTGGAACATGAAAAAGTAAAAAATTATACGCATGGATCTTTTCTGTGTGTTGGCGAAACGGGGAAGTAATAGTACTAGTATATGTACTGGAAGTCGATAAACTACATAAAACCTGTATGATGAAGTATGAATACTGTTCATGAGTAGGCAGCGGAACTGCACGACAAAACGCACTCTTGCATAGCAGTAAAAATGAGTTCATATCGGAATCGGGGTCATGCTGCTCGGAAAAAAAAACGTAGTGTGGAATGATTTCATCGGAGCGTTCACGTTGTGCTTGTGGTGCTGCGCTTAGAAAGTACGTAAGTAGCAGCTACCAGGAGAGACAAATGCCCCTTCTCACTCGCGGCCGTCACTTCTGATCTCACGCCGCCGCCTTCCCCTCTAGAATTTCCACGGCAGCACTGATTTTAATATTTGGGAGCTCATTTTCCAAACTTGTCGTATCGTTGTACTCCGTCGCCTTATTGTCCGCCCCGTAACCGAATATGACGGGCATGAGTCGCTCGACAACGTGGGCGCACTCGCTTCCGAAGCTATCACCGGCCGAGCATTCCTGGCCCACCTCCCGGTAGAGTTCCTTCTTCCTCTGCAGCAGGAGGACGCTCGTGGTGGACTGGGCGCCGTTCATTCCCGAGAAGTAGGTCCCGACCTCTTCCCAGGCCGGCTCCCGGATCCACGATTCGTACCAGGAGCGCAAGTTCATCGGCATCGGATCCACGATCGTACCGTTCGGCGACACCGGGGGACGAAACCGGGCCCGGGCCATCTTATGTCCGTTGTACTCCGCGATGGAAAAGGAGCCTGCATCGGCCAAATACCCAACAGGTTCCCAATGCGCCGACGGAAAATTGTAGTGATTGAAGTAGGCCCGCGACTTCCCCACCGAGAGCGGATCCTGGCGAAAGGCGTTCCGAATTGTGTTAATTCGCTCCTTGTGGTGGTTGAAACAGGGAAACGGCAGGTAATGCAGACGGAGATAAGGCGACGCGCTTGCAGATCTGTTACGAGCAACTTCTTGCTCTTCGTCCACGGTGATAGCGCTTGGTCCCAATTGCTCCGAAGGTGAAGTCTGCAGAGGGTACAGTGCCTGGATCTCGTCGTACTTTTCGTACGTGTAATTTGCAAAGGACGCCATCTCGCGACCGAGATTCGGCTGCTCCGTGCAGACGACCCGTCCGCCGCCGCTCCAGCGCGTAGCGGTGACGTCACTGCGGCCCGCCCAAAACCGCCCCGCCTGTGTCCCGACAAAGTGGTCGCAGGGCCCGCCTTGGCGGAATTTCGCTGCTGACAGGTGCCTCAGTGCGGTCGAGGTCGTTGAAGCTGTGGCCGCAGTCTCAGGCCCTAGTAAAAAATCATCGTCCTTCATGAGCAAATGCAGCTGGCAGCTCATGTTTTCCGTCTCCTCCAGTAGTTGTATGAGTTCCCGCTTCGCTGACTCCGAGTAAAAGTCGTCGACATAGAACGCAACAATCAGCCAGCACGGGTACAGCTTCTTCTGCGGTGCCGGGAGCAAAGTAGCAGTGGCATTAGAAATACTTGCACTGGTCCTACTTTTCGCTGCGTGTCGTGACCCTACCGATTCTTGCTCCGGCGCAAGTCGTCCCCGGCCTGAAGATAATTCTAGTACGGTTTCGTTCGCCGCGGCGCGACCACCAGCAGTAGTTGTACCATGACGACCAGCGGAACGACCCGAAAATGAAACTCGTTTCTTCGCGAAAAACTTCTGCAAGAACGCGACAGGCTTTATTTCGTTTTTGTTTCCCGAGGCGGGGGGGGGGCGCGCTTCGTGGTCCCAACGGGCCACGTCGCTTGTGCTGTACTAGCGTAGACGAAGTTGTCGTGGAGCCTTGTCCTTGCTTCAAAGGAGAGACGACCGGGAGGACGCGGCCCTTCTTGTTGACCCTGTGCGCAGACACAACCTGATGTGTGTGTGTGTGTTAAGTAAGTACTATGGTCTTAGTTTAATGTTGGGGCTAAGAGAAGGGTCGATTTACAAAGTTTTTAATTTGTTCTCGCGTGTACATAGTAGTGCTTGAAGGGGGATCGGGATTGACGTTGGCAGTAAGTGTATGTGTAGCGCACAACAAATTGCAAAAGCCAACGTTCTCCTCATGTTGTTGCAGTTGCTGTTAAACACAAACAGGAAGCAGGCGCTACTAGTACAACCGCTCATACTACAACTCTACTCTCTGGAAACATCATCATCGTCCCACGATCTATGCAGTGCCAGGCCTGGTATTAAGAACTGAAATACTTACAACAAGTGCACAGCAGGACTGTACATCTACCTGGTGAGGTCCTTTCCACGGCGCACAGGCCCCTGCAATGAAGAACGACCGGGCTGCGAGCGACATGTTGATGAAAGGTGGCTCAGGTCCTCTTGAGGGATGGCGAAAGAGACGAGGGGAGGGAAGAAAATGCGGTCTTTGTCTCGTTATCCACTGGTTGTCTTATTTCAATTCAGTGAGCGTCTCTAACTACTTGGCTATCCAAACGGCGTCGAGTGATCTTCAACGTGTCGGGTACTGGAGTGGCAACTTAAAATTCCGGGGTTGTGTGGTAAGTACTGCAATAATTCCTGGGTAAAAAAAGCAAATCTACTTGATCTTCACTTTTATGTACCTCTACCTTTTTCGTGCGATAAGAAAGATTCGGATTCCAGAACGAAAGCACGAAGTTGCAATAGTAGACGAGTTGTAAAACGGTTTTTTATTTGGACGAGTCCGACTTTGTTTGTCATGGAAACTAACGTTCGGTCCGCCAGGCAGACACGATGAACGAACGTGTTTGAAGATGCAGACGACACGGAAAACCGAAAAAAAAGGCTCAACTACAGCAGCATAGAAACCACTCACGCATGAGAGATGAACGCCCGTAGCAGGCACTTCTACCGTGGTACGTGCTAGCTTGCTACCACAAAACCGACGGTGACAGAAACGAAATCAGAGTTGTACCGAGTAAAGTTGGAACGAATTTCGTAAAAATAAACGAAACGAAAACGGTTCAACCGAGCGACGGAAACAAAACATAATTTTTATATGAGCACAAACAAAATAAAGCTCAGCGGAGCCATCCGGAGGATGAAAGGCTGAGGCTTACGTGTTTATCACACAAATCGAGGACGTCGGGACGAAGGCAGAAATTTTTTTGACTCAATTCGAATTGAACGTGTTGGTGTTCATCGACGTCAGACTTCTATCTTCGATTGTTCGGAAAAAATGTAAGTAGTTTGGTTTTGCATTGATTTCATGGAGCGTTCTTGTGCTGCGCTCAGCAAACAGGAGCTGCAAGGAGAAACAAATACCCCTTGTTCTCCCTCGCCGCTGCTACTACTTCTGATCTCACGTATTCCCTGAAAATGAAGCATCCCCATCCAATTCTTGCATGTTTTGCATGACAAAGAAATTGGATGTTGGGGATGGTAAATTTATAGGGAATATGATCACGCCGCCGTCTCCCCCTCTAAAATTTCCACGGCATTTTTCAGCCCCTCAATCTCCTCCTCCCGCCGTTTCTGCCGTTCCTCAAACGAATCCGCCTTGGTTTCACACTCCTCCTTAATTTTCGCCACGTATTCCAAAGCCGCGTCCTCTATCCAGGAGAAAACACCCATCCCCATCCACTTTGTCATGCAAAACATGCATAAGCTCCAGTGTTTGCCATGCAAAAAATGGATGGGGATGGATGTTTTTCCTGGATATCCTCCGCCTTCACCGCATTGGTTTCATCCTGCTCCGCGTCGTTGATTCCCGTGTTTAACTGTTCAATTTCTCCCTGGTAACCCTTAATCGTCTGCTTCGTCGTGGCCATATGGAAGCGTCAGGATTGAAATCGTCAAAGTTGAAAATAAAATTTTTGTATTGCATAAAACGCAATGCACAAGGTGCCTGTCTTGCAAGGGTGGCAAGCGAGGCCGACTGTAAGCCTGTTTGGGGTCTGCGATAGAGCTGCTAAAGCAGCATAACCAAAGCAGTCTTCTCTGTCCAAGCAGCATGACAAATTGGATTTCAATACTGCCAAAATTTGTCATGCGCCACTTGAAACCTGTGTTCCAACTGGCATCCATCTGATGCATGGCAAATCATTTCAACTTTGACGATTTCAATCCTGACAGATCCATATGCCAGTTCGACTTTGTAATCCTGCGTTTTCTGTTCAAACTGGGACTTCAACGACTGTTCTAAATTCTGCACGTCAATTTTGGACTTCGCGAAATCCGCCTCCGCGGTTTCCAACAGCGCGATCACCGAATCGGCCACGTTGGTGGTGGACACCCGGGACTTCGTACTCGTTTGCATCTCTGTGTTAGAACTTTCCTGCAACAACAAGGCCGATTCCGTCCCCTCGGCGAAGTACTCCTGCAAAACCTGGATCGCCTTCCCGCACGCTTCTTCGTTCGCCATCGCGGTCGCGATCTCCTCCTCGTTTTGCTTCTTGTTTTTCGCCCGCATGGCGGTGATTTGCTCGACATCCGCGTTGATCTCTTCGATTCTCTTCTCCAGTTGTGAAATCGTTTTCTCCAATTTCGGATGCATGGCAAAAGTACCGTACTCGTAGAGGTAGAAATCGCAGCTATCGTGCCCATGCATCACAGATCTATCTTGGTGCGCTAACCAGCATTACAAATTTCCTTTTTCATGCTGACCAAATTATTTGTGATGCGATTTCTACTAGTACGAAAAAAAAATTTTGGAAGGCATATTTCGTCTTGTCTGCCATCGCTTTCTCTTTCCGCATGGTGAGTTTCTCGCGTTCCTGCTGCTTTTTCTTCAAGTCCTTCTGCCCCTTCGCAGATTCTTTTTTGCAGTACGCGTTCTTGTCGTTTTCTTCCGCCGTTTATGAGAGTGCACAAGAACTCCCCCCCCCCTCGTCATTTGTCACGCAAAATACCAACCCCAAGCGCTGCTGCGTGGTACTGTTTGCATGACAGATTCCGGAAACCCAAACAGTACTACAATAGACGCATGAACTTGTCATGCACAGGCTCCACAGGTGGTGGGGGTGTCTGTATTGCTTTCCATACAATTACAAATGAGGAGGAGGGGGAGTTGCACACTGTCATACCATTTCTTTCTCTAATTTCCCAATCATGTTCGAGATCATCTGTTTCACCTTCCCAAACGGGTCCTCCGCAATGCGGATGGAGAGCTGGTACAGTTGCGTTTGCGTTTGGCTCGTCTGTTTGCTACTATTTCCATTTGATGTTCTTCCGCTTTGCTCCTGCTGCAGCCACTTCGCAGCCAGTTTCTGCAGGTAGATGCTCGCAGCGGTCTGTCGCTGCAGCTGTTCGGTTGTCGACTTTATTTGCGCTTTGGTGCCGCTAGTGAGTTGTGTTCTTGCCTGGACTTGCAGGAAAGATGATACCGCAGCGCCTGCTAGTTGATGTCCATCAAGAACTACATCACTACTGCTTTCTTGCAAGAAATCGGGTGCATTCTGCAAAATCTCCATTGCCGTGTTGAGCGCCTTTAACTCCGCAGCGAAATCCTCCTGTTCCTCGTGGAACTCCTTCGTCGCAATCCGGCACTTATGCTGTGCAAAAGTATCGCACTCGTATAAATGGCGCAGATCTTGCATTACAAATTTCTTTATCAAGGCAAATCAGCATTACAAATTTTATTTCTCATGCTAAGGAAATTTGAATGCATTTATACGAGTGCGATACTTTTGCAGTTCATAGCACTTCGTTTCCGAGTCCTCCAATGTTTTCAAACACTTTTTGACTTCCTCCTCCAACACCGCAATCTTCTCTTCTGCCTTCGCCAGCTTCTCTTCATTCGTCGCTTTTTTCGTTTTTTCCCGCTCGATCAGCGTTTTAAGATTTGCGACGTTGTTGGTTAGTTGTTGAATCAACAATTGCTTCTTCATCGAGTTCTCGGACCATTCCTGTTGCCTTTGGTTCTTACTCGCGATTTCGTCTTGCAGGAACTTTTCAAACAGGTCATATCACAGGAAAAAGTGTTACCGTTAACGGAATAGAATTTGTGATGCAGCAATGCATCACAAAACGTGTCAGAATTTGTCATGCGTGGCATGCATATTGGGCTACATTTGTGATGCCTGACTGCAATCTGTGACAACCGTTAACGTTAACACTTTTTCTTGCGATAAGTCAATGACCCCACTCATCCCGGAATCCGTGTCCAACCCTTTATCGACCGCTTGGGGCTGCTGGAGAAGTAAAGCGCTGTACTTTTCCTGTTTTTTCAGCGAAACAGACGATGCTTTGGTGATCGCGGAGAGAGCGACTTGGACCGAATCTAATGCTTTCTCCTGGAGTTGCAGGAAGGATTTCTTTTCGCCAGATCCCCCTTCTTCCTCCGACGTACTACTTTTCGCCTGCTTCATCGTCAGCGCCCGAATCGCCCGTCGCACCATGTCGATGGTTTGGCTGGACTCTTTGTCCAGTTTTGCAAACTCTTGCTTCTCTTCCCCGAAAAGCTGTTTCTCACTCGCGAGCTGCTTCGTCACCTGTTGTTCCTTTTCTGATGTTGCGGAGATCACACTTCCAGCCTTTTCCACTAGAGATGATGCCTCCTGCTTATCCGCTTTTTGGGTTTTCAAACTTGTCTTCAAAACAGCGAGCTCCTTCTGTTCCTGGATTTTCGTTTGTTCGCATTCCTGCTCGAGTTCATCCTGCTCTTCCCTGGCAATTTTCGACTCTTTCTCTGACTGCTGCCGCATACCTTCCAACATCTTGATAACAGGCGCAATGCTGCCGCCGGGCTTGGTGGTCAGGGTGGCTTCGGTTGTTTGAAGCAAGAAAACACATGTTGCCGCGGCCAAGGAGCAAGCAACGGAACCACGACGAAACGAAGACATGGCGGTCATCTTCTTTGCTCCTAATGCTGGCCGATTCATACCACCAGGTCGTGGGGGCGACATCTTGCAGAAGCAGTCGTGGCCACGAGGCTACGGAACGATTGTATATTAGCTGTGTCAGAACTCCACTTAGCCGTAGACGTCGCTCATCAGCACTCGTCACTCAAACATGCGGTCGCTCTCTCAGAATCGTAAATAAATCGGTCCTGTCAAAAATGGACCTACACACAACTTGGGGATCTTTTACCGACATCACGCACACACAACTGTTTTTGCGTGTGACGTCCGCTGGCGCGAACATGACTCCACCGTGGAGCGAGTGCGATCCGCACGTCGCACCGCTGTTCTTTCGACGACCTACGCAACGCCGGGTTTGTAGTTTTTTTCTTTCTGAGACGAGAAGCAACTGAGGGACAAAAATTTGTTTCGCTTTTTGTTTTGGAAATTGTCTATGAGGAATGCTGGTTGCGAAACTACTACATTTAGTGGGTGAAGTATATAAAAATGGCCGTCATCGGACAAAGAGTTCTTTGCTAAAAAGCCGAAGAACTCCTCTACTGCCTAAAAGATTGGAACGTAGTTTATCGCACTACACCACAAAGAGCAGCTAAGTACAACTTCTACACTACAACAGCACTAGTAGAGCGAGCTCCGCTTTCAATTTCTAAATTCATCCCACGTGGCTGTTTGCGATAGCAGGTTCTAGATTTCGAGTTATCGCGTCGTGAAGATCATAAGAAAACCTATAATCAATCTTGTCTTCACACCTGTTCGCTACTGCAATAACCAGTGGGACTATGATGAAGAACTACTACCTCCTCGTTTCTAATATGCTAGTGTCTACAACCTCTACACCACTGCGACAAACAGGGATACTGCTTGCGAATAGCAGGGATGCGGGGGAAGAAACAAGTAGCTCAGCCCTAGGTGATGAATAAGTAGCTGCTGCCGCCCTTCTCACAACTACAGCTGTCGTTTGAGTTGCTTTTGGCTTGGGGCCTAGCAGGTTTTTCGGAATGGAAAAATTTCTAAAATTGAAGTAGTTAGACTCGGTGATATGCATGTCTGACAATGCACTTATCCAGAAGGACAAGAATGGCTTCGAAGATAAGTGTGATAATTATGCAAAATTGTAATTCAGAAAAAAGTGTGTATTGTTGTTGTAAATTGAAAAAAATGTAACTAAGTAAAAACGGTAGTACAAAAAGAGTACTTAGCTGCAATAAATTTGAACGGACTGAACCCCAGTACCAAAAATCGAACAATCTATGATCTATCCATGACATGTTGACCAGAAAATCATCATACCCAGTTATGCGCCCCGTCGTAGTCGATCGTCATTTCGCTTTCCTTCCTCCCCAGTAGCGTATTTGCGGCTTTGCTCTTGATGTAAAAGTAGATGAAGTCCGATAATATGAGCAGGTTAAAAAACTCCGTGGCAGTCGCCATGTTGTGGTTGTGTGGTGACCAGCCGTTCACCGTTGGGAAGAGCAGCCAGAAGGTAAGGGTGCAGAATTTTGCTATACCCTGGAACATGAGGAAGTCACCGAGAAGCACCGGAATCTTCTTTGTCTTGTACAGCATCAGGAGTTGGGGGAGGACGGACATAATCTGTAAGTGGTTTTTTGGTGGTGGGAATCATTCGGACTGAGAAACAGAAATTGAAAGCAGCAAAAACTTTTCGTTGTTGCATGATAGAAACAGACACAGATGAATGTCTTTTCAAAAAGGAAGTAGAGTATAAAAACTTCGTACATCTGCATGACAAAATCACTTCAAATTTCTCCGTATAAGTACTATACCTGAACAATCTCGCAAATGCTGCAGAGCATGCACAAAGAGAACGCGAATGGCACGTCCCCATCCGCCGTGATGATCGAGCACCTCGTGACTGACCAGAAACAGGCCACAATCGCGGAAAACACCAGCAAGCCCCCGAACTGGACGAACAACGTGTCGTGGTATTGTTTGGGTAAAATCCGCTTCAGAAACGCCCGGCCGAAGACGTCATCCGCAAAATCTTCTTTAATCGAATTACTGACACAATACAAAGCAACGGTGGTGACCACCCCCATAAACACCGCAAACCCGTCCACGATCAAGTAGATGAACGGGGGAAAAACCTCCGGGGAATAGTGGATCCCGAAAATGTGACTGCAGGAATGGAGACACCGGCCCGCGGCGAACCCGAGAAAAGACTGGAGGGACACACCCCTCGGCCCGCGTCGTTTTACCGAATGGAAGACGCAGTAGAAGGCGAAAAACCCGCAAACGTCGGAGACCAGGATGAGAAAGTCGAGGAAAAGGAGGCCGAAAAAGGACGGTGGCGGCTCGTCTTCCTCCTCATGCTGCTGTTCTTGCTCCGCTGGCTTTTCTGATGTTGCTGGTGTTGCTTTGCCGAGAAGCTGATGCGCCTGGTAGAGTATCACATGCAAAAATGTCTGGATCTGGAAGATTGCGAGATTTGTCATGCTTGTTTGGCATGACAAAAAAGTTTGTGATGCGTGTCGAAGAAGAGACACTTCCGCCTGTCATGCAAAAACGCAGCTTCTCATGCGAAAAACGCAACACAAAGAACTGCAGATTTTTTTCATGCTTGGCTCTGCAGCATTACAGAGCACTCACTATTTTTCCCAAGACAGCACTACAAGTTTCCAGACCCAGACATTTGTACAACCCATATAGAGGGTGATCAGGAGGGGGAGAACCCGCTGGGCGAGCCGCCTGCTCGTCGTGGCAGTAGAGATCATACTGCGGGGGGAGAGCATCTTCAGCTTCTGTTGTAGGAAGTCGTGGATGAGAAACTACGATGCTTCAAAATTACAGCTGGGGTTCTTACTAGTACATACAGCTACCGAGGATTTTAGGATTTTTACACAGGAACAAGGACAAGGTTCAGAATAGGGGACAAGAATAAACTATTTCCGGGTGGAAAAAGTCAAATTCTTGCTGTGTTGAGGTTGTATCATAGAAGAAGTGTGAAGTGGAAAAAAGTGTTTTCTTTCTTACGTTCATGTACGTCGCAGACGACAAGACTACAAAGCAACGAGAAGTGGTGGACGATCACGACGTCGTAGTACACGAGCGATGAATTCCTACTGGACGAGTTCATTATAATTCATCCTGCTGAAGAACGAACCGACTGTACAACCAGAGCAAGGAAAATCAGACGATAAACTCAGGCTGTACGAGGAAAATCCGATGAACTTAGTTGCTGCACGAAAACTACATGTTGCTGCACGAAAACTACATAGGCAAAGACGCATTACCGAGGAGTCGACAAGATTCAGATTGTGACATCTCGTTTTGAAAACGCATCATGAACCGATGAGTGGGCAACTTGATTTTGGACAAAATTGAAACTGCCTGGTGTCCACACTTCACAGGAATCACGCCTGCGAACCGACAAGAGGAGCTGCTTCTAGGCGAGTGAATCGCGGTACATGAGAAGAACAGACCACCACTCGAAGTGATGCACATTGAGGGCTCAAGTTTCCTACAGGGGCAAAGGTAAAGCTTCACTTGTTTTTCTTCTTTCATCAAATTACTGCTTCAAAGCCATTCTTCACAATCAACAAGCCTCCTAGAAGCACAAGAAGCTCACGTCGTTTGGTCTTGCGCACACAGCGCCCCCTTCGTGAAAAACGATGACATCAATGCTTTTGGTCTTGCGGTGAATAAGATGACAGGTTCTTTGTAGTCAGGCAGAAATCTCATGAGTTTGTAATGCTCAGTGCGCATGCCCCGCGTGGAAGCAACACTCACCAAACATAAAAATGCTCATCCTGGCGTTCTACGGCGGTCCTGGAATAGAAGCAACACAACCTTGCCTTTACAATGCATGGAAGCAAACGTGCTATTGATCAGTATGGCAGAATTCTCCATGTTCCTCAGGGTTCCAAACGGTTTTAACCGCGAAAAACTCGGGAAGAACCGCGAAGTAGGAAGGTAACATCCTTTTTGTTATGCTAGTAACGACCAATACCAACAATAGCATGGCAGAATCAAGCAGGCATAGCAAAAACACATCTCAGAAATCTCATGTAGACAAAGGTTGGACGGTTCAGCGAGAGCGCTCTGCGGAGAGCAAAACACCCCCTCACGACCTGATCCGATGGAGATTTCATCCTAGCTTCAGTTCAAGTTCTTTTTCGCTTATCTTCTACGTAGTAATGCGAATGTAACTTTTCGTCGTGCTGTCGCGCAATACAAATATCAGATGTCAATTCCTCCGCAGGCGGTTGAATGTAGCATAGAGCGGAAAAACCGTCCGCTTAACGCCGGTATCCAGTGCAATAGGAGAAACCACAGCACAAGATAGACATTCCAAAGTTCCTCATCATTTACATTTTGTTGTAGTGGAATCATACATGACGTTGACAAGGTCATTTACATTTTTTCGTGCGGAAACTAGCATGAGAAACGGAACATCAATTTGCCTTGTTCCAATGCCGCCCTGTGCCGCTAGGTTATTGAGAAAAATCCTACCAGCTACACAAAGGCCTGAAAATTTTTTATTGCGCTGAATGAATCCCGCAGTCACACGAAGAAGTGGTGAAAACGGGCTAGTAATAGCGCTGATTTCGTCGTACTCGGAAGGAGGATCGAATCGTCGTACTCAGAAAGCGATTTTCACATCGTGCACATGAGATCGTAGTCGTACTCGTAGAACACTTCATCTTGCGGATTAATACAGAATAAAGGTTTACTAGGTAGAAGTGCATGTGATCGCAAGGTGTGTGCGCCGCAAGGGAAGTCTTCAGAAGGGGAGATCCATCGGAGAATACGATAGTGGAAAAAAACTCGGAAGAGATTGTGAGCAAAGATGCGGCAGCGGACGCGAAGCGGTACTGAACTGGTCGTGGAGCACGGCGGAATCGGAACAGTCAAACAAGCGTAGCCGCCAGCTTGCCGCACAAGTCTCTGGTCGGGCGCCTCACGAACGGCGCAATTATACAAACACAGAAGGGAGAATTCTCGTTCAACAGCTGCACGCCCTTGCAGGAATACAACGGAAAATAGCGTCAGTCTAGTGCTTGCAATACAACAAATTCGTCTGTTCAGAAAAGATGAGTGCTACCACCACCTTCAAGATAGACACCTTGAGTGCACTATGAACTGCAAAAGTATCGCACTCGTATAAATGCATTAGCATTACAGATTTCCTCAGCATGAGAAACATAATTTGTCATGCTGTTTTACCGTGGGATGGAGATTTGTAATGCATAGCTGCAATGGGTACGAGTACGACACTTTTGCAGTTCATATGCACCACACCACTCCCGTGATCCTCGTATTCGTTCGGCCAAACGCACATCTTGGTGAAATTTGGCATGCCAGCCAGCACCGCAGCGCCCTTCCACACCACCTGTGAAGGTTTATTTAGTGCTGGGGATCGATGACGACGAGGTGCAACAGTTTGCCATGCGATATCTGCATTTCTTCTTTCTCATGCTGACAACTATGCTATTGTGTAAGCTAAAGCTTTTGTCAGAAAGGACGCCACAAGGGTTTTTTCATCACAATTTGCATTGCAAATAAGACAAAGCATTGCGAATCGATATGTGGTTCATCATGGTGAGTGCGCATGACAGGCACGCCGAATGTAGCCAGATACTATCAGGAGGGGAATCCATCTTGCATCATCTCCATCACAGCCGAGAGGCCGCAACGAATCATGACAAAGCATTGCGATATAAAGGACGAGTCATCATGAATTATTCTGGCCTTAGATTGTTGTGCACGCAGTGTTGCTCTGGGTCAAAGTGCGCGAATTCACAGACGATTAGTATGCCACAGAGTCAGGAGGGGAATCCATTTTACATCACCTCTGCACAAGACTTGCATCATGCGCAAATCATGACAAAGCATTGCGATATAAGAGGACGAGTCATCACGATAGTGGCAAAACTAGAAGACCTGGAGGAGAAATTGAGGTTACATATAGACGACTTATGTAGAACTATCAGGAGGGGAATCCTATTTTGCATCAACTTTGCCTTGATCAATACAACCAAATGCAAATCATGACAAAGCATTGCGATATAAGAGGACGAGTCATCATAGGAGGTCGACGCTGTACTAGGGACTCATATAACACACCACAGCATGATGAGACATAAAGTTTGTAGTGCGGATTTACCTTAGAAAAAGGATTTGTGATGCATGATCGCAATTGCATAATTTGATCAGAAGCTAATACTTGCCAAAAGAGTTCTCGACATTCTTCTCTTCCGAAAGGAACGTGAAAAGTTTATCATCATGGTAGCTTCTCATGCGGAGCGCTGCATGGCAGACGGGTACTGTATTGCACAAAAGCGATGTCATTAAATCTGTCAGACAAGGCTGAAACTGTTTTGAGATGTTTCGTCACGATAGGAGTCGCCTCCAGTCGGATCTACTATCTAATTCATTGTGTCATCATGGAGTGAGTGCTGTGCATGGAAGATGTACAAGTGACGGCTTCTAGGTGGACGTGGAAACAGAAATATTGGATTGGGCTTCCTTATGATCAGACATACGGACAGCAGAACTGTCCGGCGGATCGCTTACTCTGCACGGGCGTGGCACAAAACCGCGCCCAGAACTAAGTGCGAATGGCTCAGAAAATCCAGAAGTCATCATAGGGTCGCGCGTTTCCGTTTCAGGCCGCGTGATGTGAACTAATGCAAATACAAACACAGCATGGCGAAAAATATCCTCGAAAAGAAGTAGTCTTTATCAGGTTTTCAGTTTTGTCGTGTAAAGAATTCTTCACGGACAAAAGACAGCGTTACTAACGCCCCCTTTCAAATCTACAGAAAAAGGGTGTTGTGTAAATTGATCATCATAGTGACAACACTTCTTTCGAGGAAATCAAGAACATTAGCATTTGCCATGCTAGAAAGCGCTACTGGAGGTCTACTTGTGATGCAAAATCTGCAATGAATAGTCAGAGGTAATCGAAAGTTTTGTCCTCAGCTGCCCTGGGCGAACAGGGCTCGGATCTAGTAGCTGATTTGAATTCCTCATCATAGTGAAAAATTTCAACTTTGTAATGCGTCACGAGGTAGAGAATAATGCTCTGTAGTGCAGCAGTAGCATGTGAACTTATCAGAATTGCAGACGACCAAAAGTAGTTGTCCCTCAGATATAGGTCCGTAGAAGCAAGAACTGATGAAAGCCCGGTCAAGGGACACCAGAATTCGCAACCACAGGACCGTAGATCAGGAAGGATTTGGTTGATGTTGTGCATTCATCATAGCATGAGGAATAGATCAGAGCTGGGAGATTCTGCATGACAAAGACAAAGACAAAACAAACAGGTAGAAGTAAAATAAGAAGTAAAGCCAATTTTTATACGTATCGCCTCTCGTCCGGTAGTAGCACTCGCGGTTCGCACTTGGACAACCCTGCAGTCAGCTTCACTAGCTCGGATTGCAGCCGGTTTGGTAAGTTCGGGAACAACGTCGTACCGCCAGAAAGGACAATATTCCGGTACATGTCCTTCCGCAGGTCGATATCGAGCAATTTGATGCACTTCGCTATCTGGTCCGGAAGCGGAAGGGCTTCGCGACCTGATAGGATAGTACAGCGTAGTTCGTGAAGGTGAACAAATCTGTGTTGCAAGGGAGAAGCGCAGATCTTGATCTACCACCTCTAGGGAAGGTGCCACATGACATCAACTAGGCGAAATTATACGTTTATATCACAAACTGTCAGTCCTATCGATTCTTCAGTAAAGTCCACACCTTAGCAACGCGAAGCCGCTTGATTTCGGTTGCCAAGCGTTCAAAAACATCTCATCATGATTTTGTGTTGTTCCTGATCCTGATTCCGCACGACAAGCGCACGCCGTGCAATCTATGCAATACAAGTCTTTGTCAGTCCTATCGATTCTTCAATACCAGTCCGCATGAGGCAACGCAAAGTTGCCTTTGGTTGCCAAGCGTTCAAAAACATTTCATCATGATAATGCCGTTTGCGCACGAGAAAATATCACACCCCAACACTTCCAGCATGACAAAGTCACAGTGACAGTGGTAAAGTAACATTAAGTACCTATCAGCATTGGCTGGAACAATGGCTCTGGCGTCATAAACCGTTCCTCATTGAGCGTGACCGTATTGCCATCCGGCATCACAAATTCCATTTCCACCGAACCATCCGTAGCAGCTTTCGCTTTTTCCTGCTGCAGATCAAGCGCAACCTGTATTGCATTTCTCGTGTGACAGATCTGATTTGTGATGATTCTGGATGATCATGAGATCGTGGTCTTTGCAGTAGCAACATTGTATTCCCTTGATAGTGATGCGACTCCTAATTTTTTCTATAGGTAAGTCGACCGTGGAGAGAGAAGTTGGGTTTCCGCTTCAACCGGCATCCCAATCGACTATTTGCCATGCGAAAAGCAATGACAGCACGTCATTGAAAGGAATGTTTGACAAATGAAGCGATAGTGATCTTCTGACAGCTGATCTTGATTCGGTCTGATTTCTCTTGCTGAGATCGCACTTACTTTGATCAGAAGAACCGCGACCACCCACCTAGGCGGGAACGAAGACAAGACAGCTGCACTGCAGAAGGGATGTTGAAACTGTAGCCTCATCGTCATCTCTATTAGATCATAATACTAGATCGTCGTGTTTCTCACAAAGAAAGATGCTCGAAGTAGTAAGAGGAAAAATCCCCCCTCCCCATATTGAAAAGGCATGTTTGCGAAAATTTGTGTTGCTGATTTGAGGTCACAAATCAGATCTGTTTTGCAAGAAGACAAGGGCAGAAGCTTCCGCCCCATTATGGAAGCGGTTTCTCATGCTGTTGGGCATAAAGGGGAGCCGCTTACCATGCTGAACAACTAGACGCATACGCCCCTACCTAGCTTGGGGATCTGACCGCAATGCCTTCCTGCAATACAAAGCTGATTTGTGTACTCAAATCCAGCATCAGGAATTTCGTTTTGATATGGGGAGGGGGGATTTTTCCTTTTGATACGAAGCGCTATGTTTCAAGGGCGCTGCACCATGGCGTTGTCAGAAGTTGTTCTACGCGTCACAATGCACACAAGTATCGCACTCGTCATTCATTCATTCATTCAGCACATGTGTATCCGTTTCGTTTTTTGAGTATTCTCTTGTTCTCAATTCTTCTTCCGGATGTACATACGCGCGTAGTTTAATTTAGACTTCTAGTATCGCACTCGTATAAATGCATTACAAATACAAAATTCCTCAGCATGAGAAATAATATTTGTAATGCGCATTTGACTTAACAAAAAGATTTGTAATGTATGATTGCAATACGAATACGATACTTTTGCACAGGATATAGATCGTGTTTCTCACAAAGAAAGATGCTCGAAGCGCTATGTTTCTCAAGCGCTGCACCATGGCGTTGTCAGAAGTTTTTCTACGCGTTACAATGCACCCAGAATCCGATAATCGCGGAAAAAGGCGCTTGACGAATAACGCGATGATGTTAAGTAGTTGAGCGCAGCCGGCTCGACGGTGCTTTGCCTGTCCGTCCGTGCGAAGGCATTGTAGTGACCTGCAGAGCCACAGGCGCAAGGCAAAGGCGATAGACCACAATTACTACTTAGGATCCGCTGTACGCGTGACGCGAACGGGTGCACCGGAAGAGGAGCAGATGATCCGATCGCCCAAAGCAGCTCGGCCCCACAGGATAGCGTGACCTACCCGTCTTTATAGGCCAGCGAACTGGGCGGGCACCGGCATCTGCGAATGCGAAAAGTGTCACACGACCATGCGCACTCCGTGGGCGCCAAGAGGAGAGTGGACGAGCACAGCAGTGGGAGTGGTAGTAGATCTGCAAAACACCGCGAGCGAAATGAACCAACTGAAACTACTGATGCTGTTGAAGGAACAAATACAAAGCAGCTGTTGATAACAAAATCTATACGTAGCAGCACTCCTCCTTGATTTTCCCGAGAATATCCTTCTCACTGGACGATACAAACGAAAACCCCCGCTTCGTCATTAGCGTCTGCAGCCATTCCGTCAGATCCCGCCCGGCTAAGTCTAACCGTTGGACCGCGTGGGGGAAGGAATACCCCTCAAAGATCGGCACGATATGCGTCACCCCGTCGCCAGAGTCGACCACAACCCCCGTGGTTCTCCCCATCGAGTACAAGGACATGACCGCCTGGATCACGATGGACACCGCTAAGACGTGGAAGTTATCAAACAGAATCTCCAGCATCCGCTCCCGATTTTTCTTCGGGTTCAAAGGCGCTTCGGTTAGGAGAACCGCGTATTCGCTTGGCTCGATCCGAATTTCGTTGTAGAAAAGGTGGGCGTATGGACGGGAAGGGGACTCTCGAGAGGCTCTTGTGGTCTTCCGCAGGATGCGAAGAACATCTTGGACACTTCTGCAAGGTGCTGCGACAGGTTCGTGTGGCCTGTAGGCAGCTGATTTCTAGCAGTGCACTTGTGCTGTGCTGGTGCACAAACACTAAGACGACATGACAACACTCTGCATGACAGGGTGCGCAACAAGAACAGCCACCGGACTACATTCTCTTCATACTCGCCAAATCTTCTCCATGTGGTCCCAGTCCGTCACGATGCCGTGGGAAATCGCTTCATCCAAGAGAGGGACTTGTGATGCGGTCATGAAGCACTTGGCTGCTGTGAAGAAATCGCACTACAACATGGTCCACGCTTTCAATTTCAAAAATGCTAGACGTCTCCGTGCTGGGGGGGGGGGCAGCGTCAAGCTACATACAACAGCTCCCCTGCTGCATAGACAAGTGGCACTTCAACTTCTTCATAGCATACCATTGCTGCAAGTTCACGCATCACAAACGTTTCTCCATTCCATAGGGGTAGAAGAACTCGGAGATCCCTCGCTTCTGCACGGCATCAGACCTTTGTTTTGGCGGAATATAGAAAGGTGCTCGGAGTCGCATATCCACTAGCTTGTTTCGTCCGTAATGTAATCATGCAACGTGCAGAACTAACAATGGCGTGGCTCGCAACGTATAATGTTTGAAGACTGTATCAGTGAGGACACCATACAAGCTGTTGTAGTAGAACAAACTAGTATATACACCCGATGAAGTAAGCCGTGGACCCGCTCGACCCGCCACCCGTACTTGAGCAATATGGGCAAAGAAGCTTGTGATGAATGAGGCCATGCCCAACCACATCATGCGCATTGCGCAGCACGAACGATAACGAAGTTTTCATATAGCGTGCATCAGAAGCTAGCTAGTAGCACTTACACAACAGCAAAACGGCCTTCTTGCATGAAAGATCTTCGTCACCTCATCTATCAACTTCTTTCTCCCAGCATACACCCGCCGCCGCCCCAAGCACCATCTGCTGCTTCGTTTTCGGTTTTGCCAGAACGTTTGGCATGACCACCGTTGGCGCGGAGTCCGTGATCAGACCGGCTTTGATGTGACCCGTTCCATTGTCGACCACGCAGACGGGGAACAACTGGGAAGATTCTGCGAAACTGTTTCCTTGTTGCCCAGCAGATAATTCTGGCGCTCGGCCGTCGGCGAACGGAGGACGCACTGCGGGGTTCGTTTCTGGCATGATTTTCTTTCGGTTGATGATGTGTGAGGGGATCTTTCAAGCTCGGTGGTTGCTTGCTCAACACTCTTCAGATGTCCTCTCTCATGATCGGACAAGTTTGAAGTTCTTCATTTGATCCAAAGGAGATTGAAGGTGACCGCTCGCTGTCAAAAAGAAAATCGCTCCGCTCGATCGTGCAGTCAGCATAGCGAAGCAAGTTGTTGTATGTTGTGTGATGATCAAGATCCCCAACTCCAGATCTTGCGGCTTTTTTCCACTTAGTAGATCGTGCTCTCTGAAAGTTAACTGGCGCAAAGTAACATCAAAGTTCAAAAACAAACCAGAAGCTCCACCTGCACAACCGCCAAGAAACAAAAAGAAAAGTTTTATTCCGCGGTTGATCCCCTTCTTGCACCTCCCTCCCGCTGAAGAGCCTTCGTTGGCTGGAAAGACGGGCGAGTTTGCGTCAGACCGCAAACGTTTTCGCGTCCTCGTGATTTTCTTTTCAGAAGGTCGTCTTCTGAATAAAGTCGGTTTTTCCCGTTTCTTGTGAAGTTGAAGAGCTAAGCAGTTTCCGGTACTTCTGCTTTGTCCTACGACCACACTGCCGGCGCAGGGCGGTTTCTTTGCGACCAAGTTGGCAAAGGCACGATACTTTTGCTTGCCAATCAAAATCGGTGTCAGCTTGATAGCGGTGGACTTCCTACAGAAAATCATCTCGAGAATGTCGTCTGAATTTGGAAGTGCTAATAGATACGTAAACGTAAAGAAAAGAACTGGATAGATAACAACTTCAACTTGTTACTGCGGGCGGTTCTAAAACTCGTCATTGTGTCGCCATATTGGAAGATCATGCGCCGTGGTCTACACCACGAGCCCACTAAGGAGAAATTCCCGCCTTCGCAGATGGAATTCCATTCCGTTCAAAAAAAAACTGTGCTAGGGTGAATCTCCGTCCCCTATGAGCGCCGGAAGAAGTTGTGTACCGGCAACATCAACACTGTAGCTCCTCCCGTCTTACCAATATCGTGTGCGCGGCTCCCGTGCACGTCCTCACTGGCTGCTGTTCAACGCGTCGTACTCCTTTAGCAAATGATTCAACTTTTCGATGACCTCCAGCACCCGGTGGAGCTTATCGAAATCGTAAATGTCATCCAAAATGTTGTGCAAGTCCCCCCGTTTTTTCGACAATTTCTTCCAATTTTCCTTCACTTCTTCGGAGTAGGATGGGCGAGTAGAGCTGTCGTGGGATGAGGGTGTAGCATGACAAGCTCCTGTGGCTGAAGACGCGGGCCCGCCATAGTTATCAACACGACGCGTTTTCAGGAATAAGTCCTCGCCGCTCCCAGAGCTGAGTTGCGGAGAGGAGATTGCTTCTTGTGGTGCGGAATAGGATGGGGTCGTCTGTTCGCGGAGGTCAGGATGCTGCTGGTGATGTTCTCCCACAGTCATGATCTGCGCAGCCGGCAACCCCTCGATCATCCGCTCTGCGGCTTTGGACGCAAGAACCGCACCGTCGCCAGAACAACTATCGACGAGCCCCAGTTGGTGAATCTCCTCCGCCGGTGAAAAGGAAACGTGCTTCTTGGCGTTTTTCGTGTTGTTTTTCGACTGACTAGACCGCTTCTCGATCTTGTACCGGTTCTTTTCGAACAGACCAGCGGGACCTCCACCCGTCTTCGCTTTGCTTTCTCGCAGTTGTTGCTGGACCATCGCACTGCCACCAGCCATCATCCCCGTAGTTCCCGTTGCAGGAGTGTTGTGCATACTTGCATTTACCGCGATTGTTCTAGAGCTGGCCTGCAACTGGGATGTGGGAGACCGTACGGCTGTCATTTGTGGCAAGTTGTCGCCAGTTTTTTGATTTTGCTGCTCCGCGTTGGCCACCAGCAAATGCGGTTTTTCCTGGTAAATTGCATCGTACCAGTCGTCCGGTGGAGTCATGATTTTCACCTTCTTGTTCGTGATGTTGCCAATAGAGGAAGAAGCTGCGGCGCCGGCGGAAGAAGTTCGTTCACGACTTCCTGCCATGTTATCCGCACCTAAATCTGCTGCACCTCCACACATCACCGCCGCTCGCTTCTTGTTTTTCGGTGAGTTCACGATAATCATCGTGCTGTCGACGCTGTCGCTTTCTTCCTCTAGCGAAGAGGAGGACCCGGTTCTTGAGAAGACCTGACACAACTTGTCATGCGTTCTGGCAATCAAATCGTGGTCGGCAAAAGCCTGGTCGAAATTGCTGGTGCCCTGGGTCCTCGCCGCGAGGTCGACATTAGTGTCCTCGGAGGAAACAAAACTGGACGGACTCGACTCGATGGACTTGATGTTGCTGTTCTCGATTGCGCTGCTGATGTCGCCGCCGGCGCGATCCTGATCCAGTTGTGAAGTGGTAGAGTTGTAATTTTCATCAGCCTCATCCGCATCTTCCTCGGCGTCCATGAGAATATCTTGTTCCTTCACCGGATTGTCCATCGGGTACAACTTGCACACCGGCAAGCATTATCAAATGCAAAAGTGTGGTCTGGGTCTGGAAGATTCTGAGACTCGTCATGCATGTTTTGTATGGCCCAGAATGTCTGTAATGCACGACCTAGCATCACAGATTTTTAGAGGGCTTCCTGATGCCTATTCCGCATTACAAATGCCCTCTCCACGTAGCACAGTCTGGGCTCCTCTTCCTGTCATGCAATACAGATTTTTTTAGAGTCCAAGGTTAGCATCACAAGTTCCAGCCTTCCAGACCCAGACATTTTTGCAATTCATAAGCACCCCACACACACCAAATGCCCCTCCCGGGACTTCACTAAAGGTACGGTGTTGGACACGGGGCAGGTATCTTGTATGCTGTGCAAAAGTATCGTAGTACTCGTATGAATGCATTACAAATTTCCTCAGCATGAGAAATGAAATTTGTAATGCTGATTTGCCGTAACAAAAAGATTTGTATATGCATGACTGCAATACGGGTACGATGCTTTTGCACAGGATATCTTGGAGGAGGCACCACCCCTTCAGCATGTACTCGCCGAGCAGCTCGGAGGGCTGCTTTTGCTTGGTTTTGTTCTGCGACATTTTGTTAGGAAGGTTTTTGTTCCTTGTTTGGAGACTTGTTTTAGTATTTTCTAGAACTACACCAAGGGACGAGGTGAATCGATTCGGGTCGCACAACTCAAACTGTAGGTACGACTACTGGGATGTATCTGCTCGACTCGCGTGTGCTACTTTCTTGAGGAAACCAATGCTAAATGCTTTTACGCAGGCTGTAGTTTGAAGGAAACTTTCTAGATCATGCAGCGACAGAATGGCTAGCTAGGGAACAAAGATGAAGTTGTATACTTGAAAAAACGTCTCGCTGTAATTCTTGTCTTTTTCTCTGCTGAGTCTCTGTAGGAACTGAAACAAACTGTTGAATACGCGGGTTGAGCGAAAACCAGTCTTGAATTGAATTCACTTGTTTTTCGTCGGCTCTGATCTTTTGGCTCTATCCCAGCTCGTCTGGAGGAAATTTTTCAACATCGTGAAAAAATAGATGATTTGTGGTTTACATTTCGGTTGTATGGAGCGGAGATTTTGTTTCTATTCTTTTTCTTGAACATCAAAGGCCTGCCGCAGCACTCTATTGGAATCAAAACCTTTGCGGCCGTCAATCCGTGTTGGACTTGGATCTTTCTTATTTTCGTCTGTTTTTCTTTTTTTCTTGGAATTTAGTTCTGATCAGCAGGGGATTCTTCCCTACCCACTGCACTGACGCATTTCGTCATTGTCTTTCGCTTTCGTCATTATAGGTCGTTCTCGTTCGTTTTTGTTTCTTTGAGGTTAGTTTCAGGAAGTGGTGGACCTGACCAGCTTCATCAACACCATATAGAGTCAATTCCTCTCGACCTATTGGTACATTTGGAAAAACAGAAGGTCGCAGGATGCTGTCGACGTGGTCTTTCTGTGTACAGCAACAGTGCGTTCGACACTAACTTTTCGCATCTCACCCCTTAACCACCGCGACTGGCCTCAACTTGATCACTTTTTTACTCAACCCGGCTTCGTGGCAGGTGTTTACCACTTCGGTGACGTCCTTGTAACTTTCCGGTGCTTCCTCCATGATTAACTTCGGTGATGCGACCCGGACGGAAATATTTTGGCTTTCCAGCCTTTTCAACACGTCCCCGTAATCGAGTTTGTTCCTGGAAACGTTCCGGGACAGCGCCCGGCCCGCGCCGTGGCAGGTCGACCCAAAGGTGTTTTTCATCCCGTGTTCCGTCCCGACCAAAACGTAGTATGAATTGCAAAAGGATCGCACTCGTAGTAATCGTAGTCATGCACCATGACAAATCTCCATCCCAAGGTAAAACAGCATGACAGATTTCATTTATTGTCATGCTGAGCTAATTTGTGATGCAATTTACTACTAGTGCGGTACTTTTGCAATGCATACGTAGCTATTCGTGCCCATCGTGCCCCCGATTAGCACCGGTTGCCCGATTAGCTGGTAATCCACTGGGATGAGCGGGTGGTGCGGCGGGAACGCACGGGTAGAGCCTTTTCTGTGGACGAGTAGTGTTTTCAGCTCGTTCTCCACAAAGTGTTCCTCTATTTTCGCGATGTTGTGGCTGACGTCGTAAATGACGTGCATATCGAGTTCCTCCGGTGATTTCCCGAACGTCTTCGCGTATCCTGTGCAAAAGTGTCGCACTCGCATGAACAATTGCAGCCATGCATGACAAAACTAAGTCTCTACCTTATCCCGCATTACAAACTCCATTTCTCCTTGCGAAATAAATTTGTAATGCGATTTATACTAGTACGATACTTTTGCAATACATATCGCGAACGCCTGTCTTGCCAGGAATGTCATACTGGAGCGGTTCACCCACGCGTAATTCGCCGCGGCTGCCATCGCGTTTAGATAATTCTGCCCCTCGTTGGAGTTTATCCTGGCGCACGCTAGCTGGCGGTCGTTGGTTTTGATGTTGTATCAAATGCAAATATGTCTGGGCCTGGAAGGGTCGGGGCTTGTCATGCACATTTTGCTTGACCCGTGAGGCTGAGGTCTGTGATGCTGGTGCTAGTAGCATCACAGATTTTTTGAGAGCTTCTTGATCTTGATGCTAATTACGCATGAGAAATGCCCTCGTCTCCGCGTATCAAGAGCTGCCTCCGCGTCCGCCTCTTGCTGCTCATGCAACACAGATATTTTTAGAATCCGCAGACAGCATTACAAGTTCCACTCTTCCAGACCCAGACATCATGTTTGCAATCCATATGTTGTCCCGATCCATCGCCCTCTCCATCTCGACCAGCGCGTCTGTCGCAACCTGGTGGCCCAAACCGCGGGACCCGGAGTGAATCATGATGCACACTTGCCCGACGGTGTTGATGCCCATTTTTTTCGCGGCAAACTCGTCGAATATTTCCTCCACGACCTGATGCGGAGGTGTTCTTGGAGATGAGTTTGTCATGCGAAGCACCGCAAGAAAAGTAGCATTTCTCATGCCAAAACAAAATCATAAGCACAATGACAACTTCCTATACCTGTATCTCCGCATAGTGATTTCCGGCGCCCAGTGTCCCCAGCTGTGGCAGTCCCCTTTTCTTCGCCCTCGCGGACACTTTCGACGGATCGGCGTTTAGCATGCGCCCGTACTCTTCACAATGCTCCTTATCCTCGGGCCACGCGTATCCCTCTCGCAACGACCAGTCGATCCCTAGCTGTAGTGCGTCTTCCAAGTCTTTCTCTTTAATCGGTATTATCCCCAGAGACCCGACACCGACCGGGATGTGATCGAAAAGCGCCTGGGTGAGGGACTCCTTCACCGGTTTGATGTCGGATTCTAAAAGGTTCGTCCGTACTAGCCGGACTCCGCAGTTGATATCGAACCCAACGCCCCCGGGAGAGACTACCGCATCCTCGTTTCCCATATCAAACGCGGCCACGTTGCCAATCGCGAAACCGTAGCCCGCATGGACATCGGGGAGACCGATGGAGTGGCGGACTATGCCCGGAAGGGAGGCTACGTTGCCGATCTGCTTCACGGCGGGGAGGAATCTGTATTTGATGGCCGAGTTTGAAACTCGTGCAGACAATAGACAATCTTTGTAATCGACTACATTGCAAAAGGAATACGCTTCATCTTCATCATCATGCGTGAGCATCATCATGTATCAAGAGATAGAGATGTTGATCAAAAAGTCGTTGTAGCAAAAAGTACCCTCCCTGCGTTCCGTGGTCCCTTTGTCTGCTGTAGTTGGAAAGTTCGGTGAAAATTAATTTTTCCAAAGACTTGTTAACGTAGAGCACTCCGGGCACGTTCATGTTCGGCGCGAAACCCTTTTTGATTTCATATCGCGTGTTGGATTTCCGATCCAGGAATTCGCACTCCTGTTCGTACGTCCGCTTTTTCACCACTGCGGCGGACATGTTGTTTGTTTTTTTACCTTGGAGGATCTACAGTTGTGGGTCGGTAGCAGATGAGGAAACCCAAGGCCGCGGCCCAGGCGAGAGGACGAGAGCGGATTTCACTTTTTGCTGAAACACAAAATGGTTGGGGGCTCACCTTTCGCTACAAGAAGTTGTACACGACTGCTGATTCAGCACTCAGTACTTTTAGCTCGGACGGGCATGATCGACGTAGAGCATGCTAAAACTTGCACCGCGCGGTCGCCCGAGACAGCCAAGGAGCTCCAAAGTTGTTTTCCTCATCACGGTTGCGGTTGGGGTGCTGGAAGTGTAGAAGCAGACGAAGGCGAGGCATGTTTCATTCGTTTTGGCGGGTTGGGCAGCTTTTCTCCAGCGAGTTGGACTTCATCGACGAGGGAAAGGTGAAACTACAATGGATGAAGTTATTAACCACAACCGCTAGCTCGATTTCTAGTACACGAAAAATTTTATAAAAATTTGAGGAAATGGGCACCAGGGACGGCGGCCTTCTAAAGCGAAAAGAAATCTTCACTTCAAACACAGGGGGTCAGGGAGATATGATTACTCGAGAGGGGGGCGGGGGAGGTCATCTTCGTTTCTGTGAAAAGCAAGTTAATGAATTTCACATGACATTGACCACATGCTAGGCGGTTTTTGCAAAAAAAAGATCTTCTATCTTCGGGCTCTTTCTTCAAAACGAACCTGGTGTAGATACTATCGGAGCTGCTATCGAAGAGCCCACTAACAGTAACAGATCGATGAGAGAGAGAGAGAGATGTAGTTGATCCTCCAATAAAGATCTAGTTCCGGCGCCGGCTTTCGAAAATGTGGGCGGCGAAGGTTTATCACGTCTTTTTTCGAGAAGCTCCACCTCGCGCGTCAGCATCGCGCTGTTCATCGCATCATGCTGGCGTTTTTCTTTTTTCTCTTACTAGGAAGTACGATGAAAGAAGAACACGCTTTCTTTAGCTCGCTTTGCGTAGCCGTTCATAGGGCGACCGTCAATTTTGTCGTGTCTCGCCTCGTCATGCGGGTGCGACCATGCCCGCATTTCCTACTTTTCTATTGCATCGTGGTACAGATAAGTGACGAAAAATCTGAAGAATTGATTCTCGTACTGGTGGTTCTCATATCTACTTCTACTGCAAGAGTGTTTCTTGTCTCGCTTTTCGTGAATGGCGGGATTCGCCACTGAAAAGCAAGTTTGTCTTTCGGTCATGAAGAGCAATGTACTTTTGCAGCTTGACTTTGAAATTGAATTTCCGTAAAATAGCCACGAAGAAAGGAACGAAAAAAAGAAAATGAGGTGCAGTAGAAAAAGAAGTAATACTGCTTCGTAAAATATTGACTCGCCACGTTGTCCATTTACACGTCAATCAGTCCGATCCTGGCACGCGCTGTGTTGACGACGCCCTGAACTTCGGCGTCTTCTTCTACGTCGCCGGCTGCGTTTGCCGCGCACACGTCTTTCAACCCTTCATACAATGCATTCACCTCCTCATCCTCTTGCAAAGAAAAGGCCCTTTTACTGTCGATAGTTATTTTTTCTCTATCTCCCGTGAGATACAGGTCGTATTTTTTGCCATCTTCCTCGACAATCCAATTCGGGACACATGCGGCTTCCTCCTCGTACCACTGACAGATCCGCCCAACGGAGAAATAGTACTTGAAGATCAGGTATAAGAGTGCACAACTAGTAGTAAGAATTTATTTTTCCACTGCTTGTTCTCATGCATGCATGACCAGCATGACAGACCACGCAGCCTGTAGTTCTTTGCGCTTTGATCAAAAAGTTGTTTACAACACAAGCGATTCTTTTGTCCTCTTGAGCAGAATGCGACAAATTATTGTTGGTGCAGTGCTATCAATACTTCTCGGTCCGCCAAGAACCAGGGCGCGCTCGACTACTTGCGCGTTTGCATGCTCCCGAAATGTAGTTGAGCTGCAACATCACAGAGGACTTCTAACACTTCTCCGTACTAGTTGTGCACTCGGATATATCGCTCGGACGTCGTTCCTCGTCGCTGCCACTCCCAAGATACTTCGGACGAACTTTATCTTCCATACAGGCATCCGCATCTTCAGCTTCACCGGTTCTGCTACCGATATCACCGCAGACGGTGCGCACGTACAAATCTACCTTCACCTTTTGCGCCTTGCACAGCCCCGTCTTGCACATGCCTTGACTGTCACTTTCGTAGTCCAAAAACCCGGACTCGTAGCACGCCTCCGCCACGATCTCTCGCACTTCTGGGGTTCTACTTGGTTCTTCTTCGGAGCCAGGTTCTTGTTCTTCCAGCCCGACGGGGACAGCGAGGCAAAATTTGAGCAGCTGCATCCACAAGGACTGGACTCCCGCTAAACCGCCGCTTTCATCCAAAGGCGGCCAGGTTCTTTTGGTTTCTCCTTCACCTTCCGATTGTGAACCACGGTAGTTCCACGCGGGCTGACAAGAAGGAGAAGTCGTCGCATCAGCAGCAGATGCTATTGCGCCGTTGTCCCCCTTTTTCTTAGAACGGTCATAATTGGTCGTCTTTGTATCGCCGTTTTTTATCGCTTGAAGATCATCGTCGGTCTCGGTGGTGGTTGCAGGAGCATAATTATCCACTCTGTTATTTGTACACACTTTGATAATTGGTTCTGCTCCATCATGTTCTTCATCAGTAAAGCGTGAAAGTCCGGGGGATAGAAACTTACGGCTCTGCCCGTGCACTGTTCGAGGTTTTCCTCTGCTTTCTCGCCTGATTTCTCGTTCTCGCGTATCTGCAGTGTCGTACACAAAGCGACGGCGTAGTGTTCGATCTTTTCTCGTTCCTCCTATGCATTGCAAATACTATCACGACGTCTGGGTGTTGGTCTGGAAGCAGAGTTGTGCCAATCATCTCTGATGCGGATTCTGAAAGTTGTAGAGACGATGTTGCTAATCAGTGTTGCATAGTCTGTCAGCAGCAGTAGATGCGCGATATTTTCCCCCAGGAAAAGGGGGCATTGTTTCTCTTTATCATGCGGACTACAGCCAGGCATGGAACCACAAGGGACCGCTCCTCAGAATTTTTCATGCCCTCTGTGCATTCCAGAAGATGTTGATCTTCGCGCAGGAGCAGATGCGAAAACTGCATGGCAAATACTGTAGTTTTCTTCCTTCCAGAGCGGACCCAGAAACGTCGTATTGGTGCATTTGATACCGCCTGGCCCGGCGCGGTCGTGGTGGTCGTAGTGGTCGTATCCATGATCCGCATCTCCTCGGTAATGGAATACCCCTGCGTCCAGATGTAAGACTGATCACACCCACCCCCATTTCCGCAGCACAAGTGACTATCTGCGCCCAACCGCGGTAGGAAGAGCTCGTCTATCAAATGCAAATATGTCTCGGTTTGGAAACTTGTAATGCTGAGTTGTGAATTATAGTGAATTCTCTGTAAAAATGCACAGCCAAGCATGAGAAATATTTGCGCGACTTGGTGTTGCGCTTCCGCTTTCCACATGACAAACTGCTTTTTGCATGACAAGCAAAAGGGTCTCTTCTTGGACACGCATGACAAACTCTTCAGTCATGCCAGACAAGCATGACAAACATTCCATCCTTCCAGACCCAGACATATTTGCAATGCATATCGTCGATGGTGCACAGTCGGCGCCCCATCCAAGCGCAAGTGTCGATCGCCTCCTCGTAGGTGACTTTCTTCTATCCTGAGTAAAAACGTCCCCACACCAAAGTTGTCATGCAAATGTGCAATGACAGGAACATTTGTAATGCGCATCGCCAGGAGAGGCATTTTTAGTCGTGTTTTGGAATTTGTAATGTTGTAAACAGGATCAGAAGATGGATTTCTGATGCAGCTGGCCTTGCGAACCTGCACTACACTACGGACTGCAACTTGTGAATCGTGACCCCCAAAAGTTCTAGGTTTGTGTTGCAAAATCCCCATCTTGACTCTGGTGGGGGGATGTTTTTACTCAGGATATCTTCCCACCTTTCTTGTTGCAGGCTGCCCCAAGCTTGCAGTCCACGTTTTTGTTTTCATCTTGATACGTTGTACCGCCCTCCGACACGTGCGGCCAGGAGGGCCCAGCAAGCGGGAGGCCACGGCCGATGGCTGCCTCGACGTCGTCCTTGTTTCCGCAACACCGCACCCCGTGCTTGGCACCTCGGTCGACTTCTTTCGGCGGGCGCAACCCGGTTGCGGTTTCCGTAGCCGCTTTGCTGCAGGGCCGGACGACGTAGGCTTTATTTGCACCGGAACTCGTCGGGGGCCCCACGGGGGCGCCCAGGTAACCAGAGGTCCACACTTTATGGCCATCGCAGCCGTCTGCGATATGAAAAGGAAAAGTGGCGATGCACCCTGAATACAAGAACTACATCAAAGAGTTTGCTTGGGAAGCGTTCTCAGTAGACCAGCATGGGAACGCTTGGCATTTTTTCATGATCGCACTTTTGCAAATCCAATAACCCACATTTATTGTAACTTCAACATTTTGATAGTGACAGATAGCGCTTATAGCACGGCGTTCCTTTGTAGCACAGACAATCGGCATATAACACACGGGCAGCCGCAGCGGGAACAATAAAGAACTTTGCATTACAAACATTAACATTATGATTTCTCTATAATTCTGGGCCAAGTACTAGTAGAGGCAGCACAACTTGTCAATATGATACTCAAGGCCACAACACATGAACGCCGTTCCCTCACGCGCGCGTGGCAGGTGCAGCTCCTCTACGGAGCACACCCGACGGCCCAAGTTCGCGCACGCGGTGACAGCCTCGCCCCAGTCCACCGTGTTTTCGTCGCACTTCGCACCCGCCATGCAGTCGCGTTTCTCATCCGGGGATGTGAAGGGGTTGTTGGGAAACCCGTGCTGCCTGGCCAGCGGAAGCAGGTCAAGAACACTGTCGTCGCCACAGCAGCGCACGCCGTACTTCCTTCCCGGCACCTCCGTGCGAACCTTCTCCGGTGCCGTGTATGTAAAGTCGTCAGCGCCGGTGCATGCGTCGGTAACGTACGTAAACTCCGGCCACTCTGTGGTTGTCGTGGTGGTCGTGGTGGAAACGAGAACGCACTCGAAATCGCGAAACTGTTTTGCGTAGTCATTACCCTTGAGCTTTCCATCTGCAGTCGGGTACTGAACTTGTTGTGTAGAACCGCCCAGCGCCTTTACGTGGCTGCAGTAGTGATCAGAGTCGTAGTCGTTCCCCTTCTTGCAACACGCCCCAGTCAAGCCCCCATCGTCGGGACAGTGGTCGCACAAGCCGGCCTCCGTGCACTTGCCCGATGATCCCTTACAGGACTCAAAGGTCTCGACCCATTTTGGCACCGCCACGCAGGCGTGGTAGTCGTCGTAAGGGGAATTCCAGTACGCATTGGAGATAAAGCTTTTTTCGTCGCGTGGTCCTTGCAAAGCGGACAAAATGCGGCACTCCCGCGGGTCACTATCGGCCCAAGTGGCCGAGTTTTTCTGCCACATACAACACGCACCTTTGTAATTTTCGTGATCGGGACCGGCCGTGATCTTGCACGCGTTCTCGCACCACCCAGCTGCCTGATCACAACTATGCAATACAAATTTTCCGTACATGTACAAGATGCATCACAAATTTCACCAATTTGGAGTGCTGTGACACTTGTCATGCTAAACTAGAATCGGAGTCAACTTTTGTCATGCAGAAACAGCATTTGTACGTGTACGGGAAATTTACTGTGGATAACAACCGTCCCAGCACTCCAACGGCCCGTTGAACATAGCGCCCGTTTTCAACTTCAGGGTGAGCTTCTTGCTGTCAACAGTGCCACCATCCACATCCCGGACCGTTTGCCCAGACGAGACGAAAGTTGTAGTGGTAGTGGTCGTTGTAGTAGTGGTTGTTGTAGTGGTTGTAGTCGTGGTTGTCGTGGTGCTGGTTGTTGTCGTAACGGCCGTCGATGAAGATGTAGCTGTGCTTAGTTCATCATCTGCGTCATTGTCTCCGTCTGCCTGTTCCTCCAAGGCGGCCTTTTTGCGCAGCGCGGCAAAATCCACAACAACAGTTGGGGATAAACTACTAGTGCCGCTTCCGCCGCCTCCAGAAGTATTATTTGCACCAGTAACAACTCCCGACTCCACGGGCGCGGGTAGAATCGCGGGCGGGGCACCATCGGAGGACGGTGGAGGTGGATCTACCGCTGAGTCATCTTCTAGGAGGTGGCTGTCCTCCTCGTCGGGGCCACATTCTAGTAGAGCGGAGGAGCTGGAAGGAGTTGTACTTGTAGTTTTCATATCAAATGCAAAAATGTCTGGGTCTGGAAAATTGCGACTTGTCATGCAGCTTTTCCATGACCCATGAGGTCTGGAATGCAGGACCTAGCATGACAAACAAGGTCCACGCGTGGGGACAGGGTCCCCACGCTGGGGCCTTGTGCGCACCCCTAGTGGCGCGAGTGGGAGAACATTGCTCGGCATCGCGGCGGACAGAGTCCGTCCCTCGCCTCACATCAGGCGCGCGCGCAGTGGCTTAGTTCGCAAAGCGGTAG